TTCATCACTCCATGACCTAATTCAAAAAATGAACGATCTCGAATTATGATTTAACAAAAGATACTAGATTTATAATAATTTCATCAACTGAGATTAGTGGCAATTTGTCTGAAGTAGATTGGATCCATTTTTGTTAAATAAAACATTGGGATTATTATGTGAGTAGTAATAAAAGTTTACAGATAGAACTAATAGTCTGTCGTTGTGGATTTATTCAGTACTCTAGTTGTTATCAGTCCATACTTACTTACGCCTGTTACCCCTCATCGAGGAGCATAAACCACCTACAACCATTCTCCATCCAATCATGTCCTGGGCAATCCTTTCCAGTTCTTTCGAGTTAACATTCATCCTTTTCATATCTGTTTCTATTTCCCAGCGTAATGTGTTCTTTGGCCTATCTCTTTTCCGCTTCCTTTCCGGATTTCAAGTAAGGGATTGCCTCGTGATGCAGTTTGGTGATTTCCTTAATGTATGCCTATCCACTTCCAATGTCTTTTCCTAATTTCCTCTTCATCTGAAAGCTGTTTTGTCCTCTCCCATAAAACGCTGTTGCTGATAGTATCCGGCCAGTCAATGTTGAGTATCTTGCGTAAACAACTGTTTATAAATACTTGTACCTTATTGAAGATGGTTGTAGTAATTCTCCACGTTTCAGCTCTGTACAATAGGACTGTCTTGACATTCGTATTGAAGATTCTGACATTGAAATTAGTTGACAGTTGTTTCGAGTTCCATATGGTCATCAATTGTAGGAATGCTGTCCTTCTTTTGCCGATCCTCACCTTTATATCTTCATTCGATTGTTTATCAATGATGTTTTGAAATTTACTTATGAATCTTATTTAATTAAAAACTATCGAAATAATGAAATTCATAACCACGCCTCTTTACTTTTTTCCTCGTATTTAAATAAACAAAATCGAATAAATAAAGAGACATTGATGCATTTCATGAATGTTAACTAACGAATTCATTGTAAGCAAAGATGGATGGAGGCTAGCAGTGGGAACCAGGACGCGCGTTTCGTCCTATTAGGGACTCGTCAATTGAATTTTAACCAATTCATTGTTTATTATTATAATTGACATGAATAGATTTCATAAGAATTATTCAAACAAAAATTAGTAAATCCGTTTTCTGGTTAATGTTTCTTTAAGGAGTTAGTTTTCTATGGGGTGGAGTCGCTAACTCCATGCCCAACCCTTCTTCCCTTATCTGGGCTTGGGACCGACAGTAACCGCTCGAGGGGGCTGCAGGCGGATTTGTCAATGTGAAACACTTCAGATTCGTTAGCCAGACATTATCAGCAGCAACAATCTCCTGTGGGAGAGAGCAAACCAGATTCCATCCAACAGAGGAAGAAATCAGAAAGAAGAGCTGGAAGTGGATAGAATACATTTTGAGGAAAGCAGCCAACTGATTCACAAGGCAAGCCCCCACTTGGAATCCTGAAGGTCAAAGGAAAAGAGGAAAATCAAAGAACACATTACACCGAGAAATGGAGACAGACATGAGAAGAATGAGAAAAAGTTGGATAGAACTAGAAAGGAAAACCCAGGAAAGAGTAAGTTGAATAATGGTTGTTGATATCCTACGTTCCATTGGGGGTAACAGGCCATTTTATGGAAAATGCATTATTGCCACACCTAAATTCATGAATTCATAGAAATTAGACAATAACACCGTTAAATGCCGGTTTAGTAGTTTAAAGGTTAAGCATTTAAGTGCGAGATTTAAAGTCATGGGTTCGAGTCCCATGTGAGAGATCGTGTATCTGCACTGCTTAGTAGTTTCATACTATAATGAAACAGTCATCCAATGATTTCAGGTTTTCAATGGTGGTCTAGTTTACATCAACTCTTGAATTCAACTGTTACAATTTACGATTTGTTAATATTGACAGAGATCTTTCAATGAAAGTAATATGAATAACTTCATGATATGGTTGATCCCTTTTTTCGATCATATAGATGTGTTATATATTACATCGTTCCCCTGATGTACGTGTCAGCTCTGTTATTTTCCTAGTTTTACTGTGTATACTTACAAATGGAAACAGTACTATTCTCACGAAACCCGAAGGTTGATAAAAATGAAGAACACTTTCTGAATACATCTCATGAGAACAAATTGTCCAACATTACATCATCATCATCATCATCAAAATCGAATACATTCATTTAAATATTGGTTTTGCACACAAATCATGATTCATCAATATATCTCATATGAATGGGAAAGTACATAGAGCTATTGTAAAACATATACCAAGTTCACATGGTGTAGTGCAAATAATATACTAGTGACTGGCTCTATGAGGTAATTCCTGGAGTTCTAGTGAGAAGTCGTGACCAGTGGAGCTAATCCATGTCAGGTAGAGACAGATATCTACCTCAGTACAATGGAAGTTGGTCGTGCAATTTCGTGGATTGGTTGCGTTGGATGCCGGCTCAGTGATCTATCAGTTAAGTGCGCTGGCGCGAGACTGGTAGGTCCTGAGTTCGAATCTCACGAGACGGGATCGTGGATGCTCACTGTTGAGGATTCCCACAATAGGACGAAATAGCCATCCAGTGCTTTCAAGTTTTCCATGGTGGTCGAGCTACAATCGACTCATGATCTCAACTATATAATGTTATTCTGACTTATCATAGTAAATCTATCTTAGAATCATGTTTTATTATAAGAATGAAAATATCTTCAACCATGTCTAAACACAAGACAATACACTATTAGAATGGATAACTAGACTGGAGATTATTCAAACTTGTCTGTTCATTTACTTGGTATAGTTTACTTGAATCTCCTCATTGATGTTTAAGACGACAATTGAACATCATCTCTGAGATGTAGGTACATCTAACTGACAAGTCACAAATAGGACGAAACGTACATCATACTGTATTCCACTGGTAGCCACTATTCATCTTTACTTATATTATCTGTGTATTGGTTAGATTTTGTTTACGATATAACAGATAGATATAATCTAACATGTCAATAGACATTGAATAACTTGTCCATATTCTAAGAACAAATATCTTCATTTAAAAAAAAGAAGAGAAACTTTGAAAGTCATTCTGTGAGGGTTTTGCTACTTCTATGATATGTGAGTTATTAACAGTTGATTGTTTGATCAATGACGGTGACTAATATCCCTTTAGTTTAGTTCCTTGGTACTGACTGGATTTTATCAATTAAGATGCAATCTGACTACTTGTATGAGTAGTACATTGTTTGCAATATGTTGGGTAATTGAGAGTAGTTCTACAAAAGGTTATTCATAGCCTAAAAAGCTCTGTTGTAACATTTAAGACTAGAAAGTTGATTGATACTGGCTTTGAATCCTATAAGAAGCAACAGTTTCTTCAAGAATGCAGGTATGGGTTGCTCATTAGGATGAAGTGTAAATCAATCAGGGTTTCTTTCTGACTACCTTCAACTCGACTTCGAGTATGTAATATGTACTGAGTATTATTTTTTGGCAACATTAAATCGCCTCATTGATTACTTGAGTAGTCTGTAAAATTATGTCACAACACCAGATCTCTTTTCAAATTATGCGAAAGCTTGTCTTGAATCTCAACAATGGCTATAAAACATTAATTCTACAACAACTCAGATTACGAATCTGGAGAGATATCCAAAGCACATACAACTATTCAATTAAGTAAGAATACTTTACATTTCTCATCATATACAGTTTGTTATAGGCATTTTGTGAGCTCATCAGATAATAAGGTATTTAATCACTTCAATGTCATCCATCGCATACCCTAAAACAGATAGTCGGTAAACATACTTTCCAGGTAAGTGCCCTCGTCATTCGGTGATCAGTCTTCTGAAAGAATGGCTTCAATTTACTGTATCAGGTAAATATTGATTAGCAATTGACTAGAATGAGTATGGAATAGGAGAATTATGATGCAACATTCACTCTCACTTCCATAATGAATGTTGTCTATTATGGGATCATTCATTTGACTTGTTTAGTTTCCGGTTAATTTCACGGATCAAGGATTCCTGATTGTTAAATTGGGTGAAAATTGTATATTTCTGTTTGTGTGTTCTTTTGATTCTGTTTATTGAATTGAAATTTATCAGCATGATTAAAGATCATTGAAAATATGAGAGCTTTTTAGGTTGAAAACTTGCCAATGGAAAAATGTGCATCTGATGATCAAACTCAATTGTTATTCCATATGGTGGATGCCAGATGTCCGTTTATCAAACAACGAATAGAATTACTGTTGAGCAGTTCCCCTCATTTCAATTTATGGCTGTGCAATGTGACCTGTCAAACTTGAGGATTGTCGTTGATGAATAGATTCAGTCGTAGATATCATCGAAGCATTGCTCACAGATGTTTAGATTGCTAACTGATCAATATTGAAGTACCTGAATGACTAATTTGTCCCGAGTAAACATGAATTGAACAGTGAACAGTTCTAAGTATGTTTTTGCCTAGTTACTCTGTGAGATGTTCGTTAACATGAAAATACAGACTCCTACAATTTCTACTAATATAACTGTTTGTTAAATAAATCATTGTTGATATGAACCAACATACCGTTGATTATCGTTGGATAAACCATAATATTTGATCTATTCATGATAACATAACTTCAAGGATAAGTTCGTCAAAACTGAGAAACTTCTTGTTGAATGACTCTCGGTTAGTATATTTTTGGTATATTTATAAAGTCAATTCGTCAAAGAGTCTTCTATGTGGAGATTATACAGTCTATTGACAAGAATTTGCCCACTTTGAGGAAATGAAACAGTTTAACTTCATGTCACATATCTTAAATGGATTGAATGTAGAATTCAATATGAACTGATCAAGAATTTGATAAATGTTTTCTTTACTAAACTATGCATTATGATACAGAAGATTAATGACAGCTGTTTTCATCGAACTCGTTAATATACAATAACAATTTGGCGCCATTTACAATTTGTCGCCAATATAAAATGAATCATTAAAATTCCTAAGATTAAATTAGTCTTTGATGATGATGATGATGATGATGATGATGATGATGATGATGATGATGATGATGATGATGATGATGATGATGATGATGATGATGATGATGATGATGATGATGATGATGATGATGATGATGATGATGATGATGATGATGATGATGATGATGATGATGATGATGATGATGATTCGGATGATGATGATGATGATGATGATGATGATGATGATGATGATGATGATGATGATGATTCGGATGATGATGATGATGATGATGATGATTTGGATGATGATGATGATGATGATTTGGATGATGATGATGATGATGATGATGATGATGATGATGATGATGATGATGATGATGATGATGATGATGATGATGATGATGATGATGATGATGATTTGGATGATGATGATTGGATGATGATGATGATGATGATGATGATGATGATGATGATGATGATGATGATGATGATGATGATGATGATGATGATGATGATGATGATGATGATGATGATGATGATGATGATGATGATGATGATGATGATGATGATGATGATGATGATGATGATGATGATTTGGATGATGATGATGATGATGATGATGATGATGATGATGATGATGATGATGATGATGATGATGATGATGATGATGATGATGATGATGATGATGATGATGATGATGATGATGATGATGATGATGATGATGATGATGATGATGATTCGGATGATGATGATGATGATGATGATGATGATGATGATGATGATGATGATGATGATGATGATGATGATGATTCGGATGATGATGATGATGATGATGATGATGATTTGGATGATGATGATGATGATGATTTGGATGATGATGATGATGATGATGATGATGATGATGATGATGATGATGATGATGATGATGATGATGATGATGATGATGATGATGATTTGGATGATGATGATTTGGATGATGATGATGATGATGATGATGATGATGATGATGATGATGATGATGATGATGATGATGATGATGATGATGATGATGATGATGATGATGATGATGATGATGATGATGATGATGATGATGATGATGATGATTTGGATGATGATGATGATGATGATGATGATGATGATGATGATGATGATGATGATGATGATGATGATGATGATGATGATGATGATGATGATGATGATGATGATGATACAATAAGATAGTTCTTCTCCCCGTTTAAAACAAATTCATCCATTCATATTATAGTCTAGGAATATGCATTGTTCTAAGCGTGCCTGAAATTATTATTGTGAAGGGATATTTCTTGGCACATCGAAGTCTTAGGAACTTCAAATTCATCGGTCTATTTTGCAAAAACTGATTCAGCAGTCTTTCTCAGAATTTTGATCCTCGATTCGCATTTCACTAGGCGAGGTCATGGATGTGCACTGCTGAGGAGTCCCACAATAGGACGAAACGGCTATCCAGTGCTTCCAGGTTTTCCATGGTGGTCTAGCTTCAATTTGATTCACGCTTTCAACTATGAAAATATTAAATCTCCACAAAACCCCCTCTGATCATTTATATATATCCATATGTAAATAGACATACTATTTATTTGGATACCGGACTTAAAATATGACAACGAATGATATTCATCGCTAATACACTTCATTTCAAACAATAAAGTTATCCTATTCTGACACATTTCAAATGAATAGTTGATGATCTACGATATTCCAAGATCATCTTCAGTTGCCCGTTGTGAATAACTGTCTTACACCTGAAATGAATGAAGTTCACTAGTCATAGTTTCTCATTAGAACTTCAAGAGTTTCATCTAGAAATCAATTACTAGTGAGTACATAATTATTATCATCATAGAGTTTTGTGCAGATTATCAAATTTTTATATGGGTTTGTTCTCTGAGCTTCTACCTGAAGTTTGTGCTGATGTTGTCGTTCAGAAGGACGATGAAAGCTCCATGACTAAACCATCCAGCTCAGAGAAAAAACCCACATCAAGATCACCCACCTGAGCTACAAATCTTCTCCACCATCTCAAAATTTTTATAGTTTAAGTCATTACCTGATCGTAAACCATTAATGAAAACTGAGAAAAACTGGGGAGTTGTTTTACGCCCAAGTATTGAACGACCAAGCAATGCACATCTATGACACTGTCCTTAAAAAAATCAAATCCAAGACGTTCAGTATTGTGAAAGAACAGTTAACCTCTAAGTCACTGAGCTGACATTGAATGGTGTGCATATACATGTATACAAAAGTTGTGTATATTATCATAAAGTGAATGAAGTTTAACTTGCACCCCAATAGATGCCAGCTCAGTGACTTAGTAGTTAAGCGTTCGTTCACAATACTGAAGGTGCTGGATTTGGTTCCCTAAGGCATTGTCGTGGACGTGCACTGTTGAATATTTCCATACTGAAATGAAACAGCGTCCCAGTTTTTCTCAGTTTTCGTTGATGGTCTAACTAAGATCAGTTTGTGATTTCATTCATGAATATAAACTATGATAATTAGCTGATTAATGACTAAATTTGAGATGTTTCGAAACTATAGTCATAATTTATGACTGACAGAATTCGGAATTTTCTCAAGGTATCATTGCTCTATGTTATGAATTGATTGAGTTTAAAAATGTGTATCAATGGAAGCAGACTCAGAAGTTCTGATAGCTAAGCGTTCATCGCAAGATCTGACGATCGTTGGTTCAGATTCAGATGGAGTTATTCAATGCATCAGATTTCTATCGGTTTTAGTTAGTATACATGTATCCTGTACAGACTGCTTCAACGTAGTCATTACGTCATAAGGTTTTATGGAATGGATTGAACTACAGGATCTTTTCTTTTTCAAGGATCAAAGATTCATGAATCTTAGTGACTTTGAATTAGGATGTTTATCCATTTCGTTATTTGGATATGCTTATTATTGAATAGTTTCTATCAAATAATTGACAATTAATATGCAACAGTGTTAGCGGGACATTAGATTGGATTAAAGCATATTTCATGGATGATGGTGTTGCTGCACACTGATTGGCTTATTCTTAACCAATCAGCTCTAGTCGTTGCATGGAGAAGACTCTAGAAGATTCTCATGTAAAATCTATAAATATACTGACGTATTTCTTATTGCGCTTCCTACTTTATCTATCCTTGTTATTTAGAATATAATTTCTTCCATGTTCAACAGTGTTCTGATTTAGGGACTTGTCCAGTGTATTGGTGTCCAAGATTACTAAGCAATTGGGAATAACTGGGTCATAATAAGGAAGATATATTAAACAGTTATAACAAACAGAACTAGGAGAACTGAACTGACCAATAAAACGTAGATTTCTTAACTTTCAACGTTTATTGATTTGGAATATCCTGTCGTTGATCAGGTTTATTTGGTATAACCTTATCTTTTATAGATTGTCACTATATCATAAGTTTATGCAAAATAGATGGAATGTGAATAGAAATGGAATCCAGGAGAAGCAATATATTCTTTTTAAGACTTGTTATCAGCCATACTTGTATATTATAGTTAATTTTCATTCTGAGATTCGAATCTAGTATTATACGTCTTAAAATCACATCTTATTCACTTAGCTACTGAATTCGGATAGTTTCTCACTTATGAAGGTGGAGTTTGGCTATTTCCCTGAAGAATCTCAGACGAGAATAAAGAACGAAACTCTGGCATTATTTTAATATTAGTCTCTGAAATTTTGACGAAAATAACTTCTTCTTTAATGTCATATAATTATTAACATAGATGAGTGGTAGCTAGCAATAGAATCCAGAACGCAAGTTTCATCTTATTTGGAACTCATCATTTAGATGTATTTACATCACAGACTTAATGTTCACTCCGGGACTCGAACTCAATACTATTCACTTGAAATATCGACGCATTTATTTAAAAAAATAAATATTGGTACAAGGAAGCACTAAATACATATGCCCCGCACAGATCTCATTTGATTTATGTGATAGTGCTCAGGTGCCACAACCGGAGCCTTCGACCTAAAGATCTGGTCCACAACGCAGTGGAGCATCGTAAGGAGATGCAGTCCCATGGTAGTCGGTGACCAACGATTGATTCATACTCCATTTGTTCCCTCAGGATACTGGAGATCATGTGCACCATTGGTTTGTAATCAGGGTTTTCCAACTCTCCTAGGTGGACTTTCTGTGTCCACCAACCCGTTTAGTCAGTCAGTCTGTTACAACGTAGAAATTCGTACTTACGGACATCAGTTCAAGTTGCCATACCACAGTAGTACAGAGATGCAGTTGTCGATCCAAATCCTATGGTGGTATAGGTAGTAAGAGTATAAACAGTAATCGGAGAGATTCGCGTTTGAATATGTTATTCAGCGAGTATAGTCCAGTGAAATAAATTTGGAAAAAGGAAAAGATAGAGACATGAACAATTCAGAAGATTAGAATTTGAGAGAACACAAAAAGTGGATGCACCTTCACCATTGCAAACAATTTTGAGCCATATCATTCAAGGTCTCTAACCATCGATTGCTATCATCTCGCGGATCTCAACCAGGTAGTCCACACCTACCAACATGGCGCAGTCCACATGTCAGTAGTGACTTCATGGATTTGTGCCACGTTTTGGTCTGGCTGTCCTAAGCATTTTTACAACCTACTCCTACACCATAAAACATTGCATGTCGGGGTAGTCTGTGGTCGGGCATTCGTAACACGTGTGTCAGCCATCTCAACTGATGAAGTTTCATTACTTCATCAATCGATTTGCCATCATTACCTAGTACCAGTTTCCTAACGACTGTATTGCTTACTCCATGGTCCCGGGATATACGAGCAATACTTCGAAGACATCTATGATCGAATACTAGCAGTCAATCCTGTTTAAAGCACCGGACATTCACTTTTCGTCTTCTCAATTTCGTAAACAACACCCTAATATCGAGAAGTCCGTGAGTAGGACTTCGAGAGACAGAGAGCATATTCTCCTTACTCTCGACTGTACCAGGGCATTCATGGGCTAATCATCAACAATTTTGACATATAAAAACCAATACACATAATTATATATATATATACATTTATTAATAACAAAACAAAATGTATGATAAACAAATGTACTTACTTTTCTTTTACCTAAATACACACAAAAAATTGTATATGAAAAGAATCAACATTATCACATAGTTACTTCCCCCCCCCTCATCTTAATTATCCCTTTTGTTTGTTTGTTTGTTTGTTTATTTTGAGTCTTTAATTTGTCGTAAACAAGATTCATTCAAGAAAATAAAAGTTAAGACAATCCACACACAAAAAAAAACAAAAAAACAAAAAATACTGTACATTATGTAATTGAAATATACCTGTTTATTGATTTTTTCTTAATAGTAATTAAAATAAACAAATGATTACGTCATAGAAACAGTAAACATGTAAACAAACAAACAAACAAACAAACAGATAGATGGATATATCGTTCAAAAAAGAAATCGTAAGAAAGACTATATATATATAGTATCCTTATAATATTGGTATAATTTGATCATAACTAGGTGGTGGTGCTGTTGGTTCAATCATGAATTGTTCATTTCCATCTCTTATTTCATTTCTATTATCTTTATTATTTATAGAATAATGATAATTATGAATATGTTTATTATGTGAACAATGTTGATTGAATGAATGATTTATAGAATAATAATGAAATAAACAAAAAGAACAACAACAACAATGATGATGATGATGAGGAGGTGGATGATGAGGATGACGAAGAGGATGAGGATGTTGATCATGACGACAAAGACGACCACCACCATCATCAGAACCACCAAAACCACTATGACAACAAGAAGTAGTACAACATCGATATAAATCTTTATTAGTAGTATAACATATCTCATCTGTTATATTACTATTATCAGTAGTATGATTATCATTTAAATATTTTATATTTCTATGTAAATATATATTAAGTATATTATATAAATTATGTAATTGTTTAAAATAATCCTCATTTTCATTATTGTTGGAATGTTGAATATTGAGTTCATCTATAAGACATTTAATATGATCTTTATTTATACTACTTGTATTGTACATATCAGTAGTATTATTTATATTCCATATATTATAATTATTATAACAATAATAACAATAATGATAAGATTCTATTTTATTTTTGATTGATTTATCAAAAAAATTTGATTCAACATTTTCATCCTCATGATCATTATGATGATCCTGATCCTGATCATGATTCAATTGACAATGTGATCTGATTGGTTGAACAAAATCTAAAATATTATTATTATTATTATTACTATTAATACTACTAATATGATAATTATCAGTAGTATTCATGAATGTAGTTTGTATATAAAAAGGATTATGACGTAATATATATTCATATGAATCCATTGGTTTAAATAAAATACTTTTATTGATTTTTAATTGATTATTATTAAGATTATTATTGATTAATTTTTTTCTTTTTAATAATTGATTCCATAATTGTAATCGTATTGATTTTTTACAAAAAATCAATATCATCAATATCATAAAAATCAATAAAATGATATTTAATAAAAAACCTAAAAAAAATGCAAATAACCATGTATATAACCATTTATAATATAAATGATTTAATAAATAATACCATTTTTGATTCATATTTATATTATAATGATACCATCCTGATTCACTCCATTCTGATAACCAAATAGGTAGATTAAAACCAGTGATTAATGGATTATTATTATTATTATTATTAATATTACGTAAGGGTATTAATTTTTGTTTATATATATTACTATTAGTAGTAGTATTATAGGTAGTATATAAATTATTACTACTATTATTGTTTGTATATGAATGATTCATTTTATAGGTAAGCCACCAAAAGGGTGCTAACCATAACCACCATGTTAATTCAATATAATACTCATCATTATTATTATTATTAGTAGTAGTAGTAGTACTAATAGTATCATAGTGATTATAATGAGTAGTTTTAGTAAAAAATTCCCATGTAGCCCTTAAATATTCAAGATCATTTAATGATTTTTGAAATTGATCATGATTATTATGATTGTTGCTATGGGAAATATTCAATAATTCATCATTGGTTAATAAAGTTAACCAATTTAATTGTGACCATATTTCAGATAATTTAAATGATTGTATATATTGCTTATGATGATTATTAGTATTATAGGTTAATCTATTAAATGATTGTTGATTGATTATTCTATTCAAATGTAAATTACAACGTGTCCATAATTGATCTCGATCAAAATTTTCAGTTGTTGAACACCAATATGTAATCCATTTAGGATAAATAGTGAAATGATTTAATGAATTTAATGAATTTATAATACCAGGTAAACAAGATGTAAAATTTTGTTGTTTAATTACAAGTTCTGTTCCCTTACTTTGGATTTCATTATTATTGTTATATAATGATAATGTAGCTTGAAATGGGAAATAACATGGAAAACCAGGATCATTACCACCTTCCGTTTGTATATGATTAATTATTTTTGTTGGAGTATGAGGACATTCACGTAATTGATTTAATTCTGTATAACATAACCAATGTCCTGAAAATGGTTGACATTCATAATCAATATTATAAATATCACTACCAATATTATAATGATAATGATAATGAGGATCATGATTTATTGATTTTTTAAAATAACATGGTAATTGATTAGATAATTGTGGACGACATTTTGTCCATAAACCATCTTCATCAAAATTAGCTGTTGTTGAACACCACCAATAACCATTATGACCATTATCAATTGGTATTATATCATTTTGATTAGAAAATATTAATTTACCATTATATCTTATACATGTTGTATATAAACGTTTATGATATAAAAATGGAAAATGACATTTATGACCTGGTTGATTACCACCATAAGTTGATGTAGTCTCTGGACATAATTGCCATTCTGGATAATGATCATAATTATCAGTTAATGGACACCACCATTTTAAATATGATTGATTATGAAAATTATGTAATGGTTCATTTGGTATAGATAGATCAATATGTTGACATTCATAAATTGCTTTACGTTTATATACTGATGGAAAGATACATTGACGTTGTTTGGTTAATTTCATTGAAGGATATAGAAATCTATTACCTTCCCTTTCATTATTTGTTAATGGTAGATTATATAAAATAATGATTTGATAGAATATGATATATTTTAAAAAAAATAGTAACCATGCCATTTTTTTTGGTGTTTTTCTCTCTATTTCCTTTGATATAATTCCTCTTCACCCTCCCCCACCCGGGGAACTTCAAATTAAATCCTTATTTTTAAAAATGAATAATCACTTGTTTCACTCATATTTATACTGAATTCATTGAATAAATCAACCAATCAAATAACAGTAATTCATATAAGGTAATATAAAAATTTTTTTGAATAGATGAATTTGATTGGTTGAAATTGTTTGATTTTTTTTTTTAATTTTTATACAATAAAGCACACTGTCATAATAAACAAACGTTGGGTTATTTTAAGCATGGTAAGCAGAGATGGATAGCGGCTAGCAGTGGAATCCAGGAAGCGCGTTTCGTCCTATTTGGGACCCGCATCTCAGACTTGTTGATGTTCACTCTGGGACTAGAACCCAGTACCATTCGCTTCAAACGCCATCACGTTATCCACTCGGTCATCCATCTCTGCTTACCATGTTTGTGAATCAAGGCTATATCGAGGCAATATGCACATATGCCAATTAGAGACTGACCAGTTGCAATCCTAATACATCGATGGGAAGATTCAAACAAACAATACTAAGTTGAGTTTTTTACTTTTTATTTTTTATTAAACATAAAAAGGGGAATTAAATTCACTTGATATTGTTGTTTACTTAAATTTTCCCATTGATGTTCAAGACTACAAGTGATCAGTCATTCTCTTATTGGCATACGTGCATACTGTGAGAATTGCCTCCATATTGACTTTATCCACAAGCATTATAAGTAAATATGAGTAGTGGCTAACAGTGAAATTCAATTTCACGAGCGTTTCGTCCTATTTCTGACTCGTTAACTATATATACCAACATCTCAGAGTTCATATTCATTCCGACGGGAAGATTCAAGTAAACAACAACAAGTCAATTTAAAATTCAATATGCTCAATAGTGACTGGCTGCATGAGGTAATTTCCGGAGTTCTAGTAAGATGTCGTGACCAGTGCAGCTAATCTATGTCAGGTAGAGATAGATATCTACCTCAGTACAATGGAAGTTGATTGCAAAATTTAGTGGATTTGTTGAGGTTAGACATCAACGCCGTTGGATGCCGGCTCAGTGGTCTATCGGTTAAGTGCTCTGACGCGAGACTGGTAGGGCCTAGGTTCGAGTCTCACAAGGCGGGATCTTGGATGCGTACTGCTGAGGAGCCCCACATGAGGACGAAACGGCCATCCAGTACTTCCAGGTTTTTCAAGGTAGTCTAGCTTCAATTGACTCATGATCTCAACTATATAAACTTAAACTTCAACACATTGCACAAGCTAGTGGTTACCATAACTCAGTAACTAAGTGTATAATCCGATGGCGTTTGAAGCGAATGGTAATAGGTTTAAGTTCCAGAGTGAAAATCAACTCTGAGATGTACATATATCCAGTTGATGAGTCCAAATAGGATGAAACCTACGTGGTGAATTCCACCATTAGCCCCTATCAATCTTTGGTGATAATGAATGAAATTATGTTTCTAAGTTGAGGGAAATGATCAATTTATATCTCCCTTCATAATATTCATCTTCTATCCATAAAAAAGACACCATACATACATATACATATTGATTGATCTTGGGTAATGTCTCTTTATTTTTGGGGGTTAATATAACTTTTATTGGGAAAAAAATGGACATTTTCTTTGATAAACAATTATCAGAGATCAGAGGGGGTTTTGTGGAGAATTTAGTATTTTCACAGTTGAAATCATGAGTCAATTGAAGCTAGACCACCATCGAAAACCTGGAAACACTGGACGGCCGTTTCGTCCTATTATGGGACTCCTCATCAGTGCGCATTCGCGAACCCGCTCTCGCGAGCGAGATTCGAACCCAGGACCTACCAGTCTCGAGCCCAAACCCTTAACGGCCGTCCAGTGCTTCCAGGTTTTCGATGGTGGTCTAGCTTCAATTGACTCATGATTTCAACTGTGAAAATTATCAGAGAGTTAATAGTTTGTTGAGTTTCTTTGTTTGGAAAAGTGAAAATGATACAACCACAGTAGAACAAAACGAACTACAAACATATGCATATACTGATAGTAAGCTATATACAAACAAAATAGGAATGACCTTGAACATTGAATTTGTTACAACTTAGTAAATTTATTTGGTTTCATATTCGATTGTTTATAGTATATATGTTGTATCTAGGGCTTTAGATTGTTGCTATGCCACATACTACTTGAACGATCGAACCCACGGCGCCACAAGAGAGAAGACTAGTAAGTAGGAATATTATTGCCAACATAGTGTTAAATACAGTATAAAAACCTAATGTATTTATGGCTTTTTTGGCTGAAAGTAAATCATCATTTCGAATAGCCAATAGGCGCATAGAAGGTTCCTTCTTATTTATTCAATAGGGAAGCTACACGTCGACATTCTAGAATGTCCCTCTAACAGTGATTGGATGGAATGCCTTCGACTCTTTCTAGGCTTCTTGAGTTTTCCAACGATCGATCCTTACAATATAAGTGAATGTGGAGATATGAAGTGTACACACAACACCTACGCTCATATAAAAAATCGTCGGGGTTAATAAGTGAATAATTAACAAGATGAAAACACGACTCATGATGGCTTGTCTTTAATCTCAAACTATTAATCTGATTTATGACCCTAGTAGGTTAGGGAGTTTTCTCAGGGTCACTTTCACTTCAAAGGTCGTCCATAGTCTCACCAAACTGTTTTTAGAACCTGCTATATTTTCCTGTAGGCTGATGTACCTCCCAGATTCTCAGATGGAAGTAGTTTTCCTAAGGGATTACTTCCCAAGCTTTCGACCCAGCGATGTAATCTACAGAGCAGTGGGGGGAACGTCAGAAGATGAAGTCTTATAGTAGCCAGTGAATAAAAATAATTCGTACGCCGTTTGTTTTCTCAAGACCCTGGAACCTATGCATACTACTGATTTGAAATCGGGGTCCTCAAACCCACCGGAATGTGTCACTTGTATTTCTCAACTCAAGTTACGTCCCAGACGTCATTTTCGTAAAACATTTCCTCTATGTGAAGCCGTTGAGTAGATTTACCTTGGCAGATGCACTCGACTTACTGCTGTATGACAGAGGACTGTTTCCACTCTGTCCTGTTCCAAAGTATTCCTCTTCGTTAATCTTGATGTACTCAAAGTAGAGAATTTTATTATTTAATTTGAACACATAAACGTTTGTACAAGGAAGTACCGAATACGAGATATAATTCTCAATGAATATTTCATTTTAATTGTCTAGAATTATCTATATATCTGTCATCCATGAAGATGATACTGTAGCTCATCCAGACTTACTGTATGAGAAAAATGTTTACAGTGAAAGTTGTCGTATAGGTTGACATGTTAAGCTTATATACTTTAATCTAGATTGTGGATAAGCCAATTTGCCTGTCCATCATAAGTTGTGTTTTCACTTGGTTAATTATTCACTTATTAACCCCGACTATTTTCATATGAGCGTAGGTGTGTGTACCCTTCTTATCCTATTTATCACATGTTTGTCATTTATTCTTATCTGACTATAAATATTGATTAACGCCTGATTAAAGTGAGTTGGCTTTCCCACCATCTCCAATGCGTGTCAGTTTTGCATAGCTCGCTGATATTTGCTCATGTGCTTATATCTTCCTGGCCTGCGTCATTTGTCAAAAAAAAACTGTAGTTGCCGCATCTGTTTGCCTTCTGATTTTATGCACCGTTAAAATTTATATGATAACGGTTATCGAGGTGAACGATTAACGAAGCAAGGCACTACAGATTTGATGATCCCGACTAAGTCACAGTACAAAATCAAATCATCAATGAAAATCGTACTCTTATATACAGCATCCATTTACTAATTGAACTGAAAAATACAAAATCATTCAGATGATGCAAACAATGAAAAGCCGAGGTGCTACAAATTCAAGATCACTTATCCAACCCTCTTTACAAAGATGATAAGACTTAAATCAAGTCGTCAAAACACTTCAGTTGAAAAGTTTAAACGAATTTCCAGAAAGATAACCTCAATGCACAAGTAGATAAATCCCTTACACAAATATATTTATTTATTTATTTAAATACATAAATATTGGTACAAAGGAGCACCAGATACATATGCGCCACACAAATCTCATTCGATTTGCTTGAGGGTTGTGATACTGCCTAGGTGCCCAAACTGAAGCAGGTGGTTTTCTTAGAGGGTTGCACCCGGAGCCTTTGACCGAAAGATTTGATCCACAAGGCAGTGGAGCATTGTGAGGAGATGCAGTCCCACGGTAGCAGGTGATCGACGATTGATTCGTACGCCATTTGTTCCCTCAAAATAATGGAGCCAGTCCATGTGCACCATTGGTTTGGAATAACGGCTTTCCAACTCCTCTAGGTGGATTTTCCATGTCCACCAACCCGATTAAAGCGCCGTACATTCGCTTTCCGTCCTCTCAATTTCGTAAACAACGCCCTGATTGAGAAAAGGCAGTGAGTAGGACTCTCTTGTGAGTGGTTGTATACGCGTAACAATGTGAGAGCATTTCGAGAGGGAGAACGGACTATCCCCATTCTCGGACGTACAAGGGTATTTAGGAGCTTTATATATATATACAAATAAATTACAACTAATTAACGAAACTATTGTTAACTTTATAAAAGTTCATTACACTTAACTAATGTCATTCAAATTGAGAAGTAGCAACCAACCAACCAAACAAACAAACAAAATTAAGTGCTACTTTTCTATACACAATTTTAATATGTATTTTGTGATTAAATTCATGATCTGAATTGTTACTATAAGTGTTTACTTCTCTTTAAAAAAAGAAAAAAAAAACAAAATTACGGATAAGTGGTATATACTACTTTTAAACTTATGAGTTTTTGTTTTCCTACACCCAGATTGTTAATTATAATTTTTTAAAAATAGATAAGAGAATTTATAATTGATTGGTCATTGGATGGTGATCAATGTCATGTGCGTTAGGTCCTTCTTGACCCCAAATGTCCTGGTAAGGCCGAGAATGGGGAAGGTCCGTTCTCCCTCTCCAAATGCTCTCACATGACCAAGTGCCAGGGAAGTCCTACTTACTGCCTTCTCACCACTGGACTGTTCTTTACGAAATTCAGAGTACAAAAACGAATGTCTGACGCTTTGAACGGCTTGGTGGATACGGTATGGATAATCTACCTAGAAGGGTTGGAAAATCCTGATTCCAAACCAATGGTGAACATTGACTCTAGGATCCTGAAGAAACAAATGACATATTGTTGGTCACCGGCTACCATGGGACTGCATCTCCTTACGATGCTCCACTGCCTTGTGGATCAGACCTTTAAGTCAAAGGCTCCGGGTGTTGTCCCCTAAGAAAACCACTGGCTTCGGTTTGGGCACCCGGACAGTATTACAGCACTCACACAAATCAAATGAGATTTGTGTGGCGCATATATATCTGGTGCCCCAGGTCCTTCTCAGTGAAGATTGAATTCTATTCAAGGTATCCTGTCGACTACCTCCAACAACAATCTTATCACAACATAGTACACGTAATGTCGAATCACCTAGACTAATGACCATATTTCAGCTTGATCGATAGGATTCGATCTGCATTAAGAAGGACCTGACACACATGACATTGATAAGGACCTAGTGATCAATCAATTGTCAATATATTTCAGTCCTACAGGAGATCAGTAGCGGCTCGGATTGCTCAGTGGTAATGTCTCTGACTGCGAAGCTGGGTGACACAGATTTGAATCCGTTGGAAAACAGTGAAGGCTCGAAGATCGATTTCCAGAAAATCTTACACGAAATAGAGAGTCTAAAAAGGCAAAAGAATGACACGATATCTCATGAACAACACAGAACTAAGAACGCGGCATGTAATGGATACTGAGTGATAGTGAAATCGCATGACCGGTTGAATACCTACCAGAGCATTGAATGTAATCATCTTCAGAGTAAGATTTGAAAGTGACAGATTCTAAATTATGTAAAACTACAAATGGGTAATATCATTCGAAGTCCTAAATCGCGATAAAGTGCCTGTCTAGTAATACAGTTATGTTGCTATTAAGGACGTTTCTCCACTGATTGGCATTTTAACCGTACTTTAAAAGAAGACATTACGTAAATGTTTTCCATTGCAATTACATGTCCAACTAGTCATCCTTATTTTCAGTTGATCAGTAAATGATTTGGAAGCCAAAAAGGCCTAAAGGTTCCGGGTTTGATTCCTAGTATATTAATAGGTGCGTATTGCTTAAATGTCTTGTTTAAAACGAAACGATTGTCCAGTATCCCACGGTTTTTAATGATTTCCGATGTAGAATTAGTTTGTGATCTATATTATAGGTGGCAAATTATTCTAGGCTCTCTGAGGACATCAAATTTCTTGGGAAATACATAAACATCGAACGACAAAACATTACGTGTATATTGATGTTTGACGTTAGCCTACTTATTACCTTCGTAAGTAGTTCGGACTGTTTGACTTCATTTTTAGGCTTTATCGATGACTGGCAATGGAGGAATCACATGCACTTCAGTATACACGAATGTCCACTATACCTTACCTGTACTTTCTCCCTTATTCTGTTAAATTAATAACGCATAACTGCTCGATGTAAAGAATCATTTACCTGCACAAAGAAACATCTATGACCAACAAGAAAACACGACAATGCGCGATGCAACCCATAGGTTCGATGTTAAACAATCGGAAGCGATCAACCAATGTTACTTGCCTGAAATAAAAATCTAGACTCATACGGAAAATGGTGTTTCTTATGAAACCAAAAGGACATCATCAACTGTTATAGTCATAGAAGTTACCATTTAGTCAACAGATTTTATTTCGGTTTCCCTTCCAACCATATAACATCGAATAATGTTCACAATCACTTCGAATAATGATCATCATTACAGTAAATTAATCGATAAGGTTTGATTAAGACTAAGGATTAAACAAGTATGTCGTTGGCAGGATTCTAATCCTGTACTCACCCTAGATGGTGAGCAGATTGAAGTAGTCGAGAAGTTCGTGTATCTAGGTAGCTGCATAAGTGCTGGTGGTGGCGTGAGTGATGAGATCGATGCACGTATAGTGAAATCCAGAAAGGCTTATGCCAATCTGGGCCATCTTTGGCGCCTTCGTGATGTTAGTCTGGCTGTAAAAGGTCGGATCTACAACGCGTCGGTGAGAGCAGTTTTGCTCTATGCTTGTGAAACCTGGCCTCTCCGAGTTGAGGATGCGACACGTCTTGACCGATTTACATTTATTCGTTTGCAAGGTCGTAAGCGCCCGTCACTTCTCTAAGGAGTTGTCTGCTGGGACAATAAAGTTGTCTAGTGCATGTTTTATAATATTTTAATTGGCATCGCTTTCGTGAGAAATTACTGATTCATTTAGATTCTTTTCATTTTATTCACTTGCCAAATATTTCCTCTTACGGCATGTGCTTTGCACCCTCCAAGTGCAAAGTACTCCTACAAGATTGGCAGGATTCTCATCCTGTACTCACCCTAGATGGTGAGCAGATTGAAGTAGTCGAGAAGTTCGTGTATCTAGGTAGCTATATAAGTGCTGGTGGTGGCGTGAGTGATGAGATTGATGCACGTATAATGAAAGCCAGAGCGGCTTATGTCAATCTGGGCCATCTTTGGCGCCTTCGTGATGTTAGTCTGGCTGTAAAAGGTCGGATCTGCAACGCGTCGGTGAGAGCAGTTTTGCTCTATGCTTGTGAAACCTGGCCTCTCCGAGTTGAGGATGTTAGACAACTCTCTGTGTTCGATCATCGTTGTCTCCGAAGGATTGCTGACATACAGTGACGACACCATGTTAGTAATGCAGAGGTTCGGCATCGTGTGTTCGGGCGCAGAGAAGATAATTCAATTGGTATCACCATCTTGAAACACCGACTTCGGTGGCTTGGACATGTTTTACGAATGTCGTCCCAGAAACTTTCACGTCGTGCATTATTTGCCGACTCTGGGACTGGTTGGAAAAAGCGGAGAGGAGGTCAGTGTATAACATGGTGTCGTGGCATGAAAGAAAGCTACAAAGGGCTAGCTTCTGTTGGTCCTTCACGACTCCCTGGTTGGGGTCCGAGAGATGGTGCAACACAGTGGCTAGAGACGTTATCAGATATGACTCAGAATAGAAGCCAGTGGCGATCCTGCTTTAACCTTCTACTTTGTTCATAAAGAGCGGCTATAACTTTCCTAACTGAGAGAGCTCTTCTGGTTGTACATTTTAGTTTCACCCATCATTACTATTCTCTTTGTTTTCATATACCCATTTTCTCCCTTTCTCTTCCTATTCTCATTGTTTTGAGTGGCGCATATGTATCAGGTACCCCTTTGTACCAATATGTATGTGTTTAAATAAATAAATAAATGGTCACAATTAATTAATTACATTGCCTTATTGAAAAAGAACTATTTTTAATTTAAGACATTTATAACAGATAGTTCAAGGGGGAGAGAAATATGTACACATTAATGTGGATAATATAATCTGATATTAACTTCTGTAGAAAAATATTAATGCTCTCTTCATGCATATACACCAAGAAATTAATCCCATAGACGTATATTACCATCCCAACCAGCAGTGATGACTTTTGATGTTTCATGTGGTAACCATGCACAATTAATACAGACACCATCATGTGCTTTCCATTTTGTTAATAATCTAGTTGTTTTCCATTCCCATAAACATAAATAACCATCCCCATCACCAGAGATAACATAACGCATATCTGGTGACATATCTACAGTACATGCATAACCTGATACCATATGACCACGAAAAATCTTTTTCCGCATACGTTTAAAACCGGCAAATATATTGAATACAACTAATTGATTATCAAGTGATTGACAAATTAAATATTTACCTGTCAAAAGATAAAGAATAGGGATAAAAGAATAAAAGTTAAAACAGATTGAAATTTCGAAACCCATGTATATTACGTAATATCTACAAATAAATAATCAGTTGGATGGATGGATAGGTGGGTAGGTGGATGGATCACCTACCCTCTTTCAATATTGATACTCACAATGACCACCAAATGCCCTGGTACGGCCGAGAGTGGGGAGAGTCCGCTCTCCCTCTCCAAATGCTCTTACATGGCCACGCGTATATAGCTTCTGTCAGGGAAGTCCTACTCACTGACTTCTCACCACTTGGGTGTTGTTCACGAAATTGAGAGGACGAAAAGCGAGTGTCCGACGCTTAGACCGGGTTGGTGGACATGTAAAGTCCATCTATGGGAGTTGGAAAACCCTCATTTTAAACCAATGGTGCACATGGGCTCCAGTATCCTGAAGGAACAAATAACGTATGAATCAATGGTCAGTCACAAACTACCATGGGACTGCATTTCCTCATGACGCTCCACTGCCATGTGGATCAGATCTTTAGATCAAAGGCTCCGTGTGTGGCCCCCTAAGAAAACCACCTGCTTCTGTTTGGTCACGAGGATGGTATCACAGCCCTCACAAAAATCAAGTAAGATTTGTGTGGCGCATATGTATCTGGTGCTCCTTTGTACCAATATTTATGTGTTTAAATAAATAAATATTAATTTTCCTTAACCCTTGCAAGTTATTTTCAGTTTTGTATATTCTTGGAATCTTTATTTGAATGCGACAGTCTCCACATTTGTGTGCTCTTAGTTCCCATTTCGACTGTTAATAGTCATAGTCAACTAATGGCTGTCATTTATGCTAGTGAAGTCTTTGTCTTTTCAAATATACACAGACAAGTTAATTGTCACAAATACTTTTATAAGTTGAGGTTTGTGACTAGTTTACATATATTTTGTAATAATAAAACCATTCTTAGGATATTGTAAAACTCCGCCTGTAGCTCCTCTGGGGGTTACTGCCGGTCCCAAGCCCGGGTAAAGGAGGAGGATTGGGCATGGGGTTAGCGACCCCATCCCGTAGAAAACCAACTCTCTAAAAAAACGCTAACCAAAAAAAATTATTCAAACCATTCAAACTCTGCCCTGGGAGTAAAAGGAATAATTATGACGTCTCATGACGAAAGCCGAGTTCCTTCGGAAGTCTTGAGGCCGATGCACCTTCTAACAACCAGAGCGACAATTTGTATAGGTACATGGAATGTCCGAACAATGTGGGAGACCGGAAGAGTCTTCCAAATTGCTGCAGAAGATATTGTAAGCAAAGATGGATGGTGGCTAGCATTGGAATCCAGAATGCGCGTTTCGTCCTAATTGGGACTCGTCAGCTGGATGTACCTTAAGATATATCATTGTTTTGAACCTCGATTTCACGCATACATTTTAATTGTATAGTTCGACGCTTCAATGAAATTAACGATAAATATATATCAAAAGTAAACACAATATATACATACCATTCGGTGAAACACTAACTGCTGGCATCGAATGTAAAGAAGGATCAGCAAGATATTTAAAATCTACTGGAATATCCCATTCCCATACACGTAACGATTTATCATCAGATGTTGAAACAAATCTTCTATTATTATCCACAAATGCAACAGCATTGACAGCGCCCAAATGACGATCATACTGTTGGACCACTTCACCACTACGTGCATCATACTATTGTTTGTGAGTTGTTTGTTGTTTATTTGTTTGAATGTGCGTGTGTAGAAAAGAAAGACAACAAGAATAAGTATAAAAAAGTCATATATGTATGATACCTGAACCTGATACATATCCGCATCGGTTCTAGTTGCTACAACATATAATATGAACATAATAGTAATGGAAAAGATTTGGCGCTGAGACTATAATTTATGGACGACCTTTGGGCGACGCTGAAGTGACCTTGAGAGTGTTCACCTACTTACTACTAGGGTTAAATCAGAGTTATAAATCAGTGTGAAGAATTGAAATTATGATTTTTAGTTGATAGTTAAGGTTAGGAATTATATTTAAGGTTTTTATTACGAACTGACATCAGCTAAAATTCCAAAACTTTGGTTAGACAAATGAGTGAATGAATCTAGCGACAAAGTCCGAAGCCTGTAATCCTAAATCTGACTAGTTACTCCATGAATTATAGTTTCACCGATTAGACATAGACAATGTAATTCGAAGAACGCCAAAGATAAATTCTTAAAGCTAAGGATTTAAGATAAGGTAAAGAGTGAATGCCTTTGGGCTAATATAATTGATTTTGAGTCATGTCACATGACGTCTTGGTTACGACAATCATGTGAACTACAATTACGTAGTCTGCACCTACCAACACAGCTCAGTTAAACAGTTAATGACTTTCGTGGATTGATGCCATATTTTGTTTTGGATGTCTCTAGCTTTCTTCCAATCTCATCCTGAACTAGACATCATTGTGCAGCATTAAGGTGGACAATAGTTGGGTGTTATATCTAGAACTTGTATTCCTTGCCATACCGCATACAACTTTATCACTTGGACGCTTGAACATTCCAAATCACAAGTTCAAAGACAAAAGACGAGTAGGACGGAACCTTATTCCAATAGTGTCTAATATGGTACGAAACACTCATGTATTTATATTTTTTAGTAAAAACGAAATTATCATTACAGGCATCCAATCCGTATGTAGTGGTGTTTAGCACTTGTCCAATCGGGAAGCTAAACGTCGAGATTCTGGAATGTTTTTTCAAAAGACGATTGGATGGAATGTCTTCGACTCTCTCAGAGCTTCCTTGAGTTCACCGGAGGCCATCCCTACATTAGGCATACCTAATACACGATTCAACCACCTCAATTGATGAAGATTCATAATATTACCAACTAACTTACCATGTTAGCCTAGTAGCCTACATTTAACCTAGACATTGTTCATTGGGTGATACCAAGATTTGCGAGCACTATGTTGAAGACACCAAAGGTTAAGTACTGGTAAAGTACGAACGCCATCTACTTTTAAGGGATATGTTTCACACCGTTAAAGTAAACTAGAGTGAATATTTGAGCAGTATACTAGTCCCTTGGTTGGTGGATGGACATCTCACCTACGTCACTGGAGATGCGATTTGGTAAAATCCAAATGAACTTTCTGAATCCGTTCCTAGATTTCATTAAAACCCAACCCAATACAGGTGATGAGACTTTCAAGACAAGTGAAATGTCCGAGGTACTTAAATACTTTACTCCCTATCATTAGTTTAAATGCTAATGTAAACCAGTTCTGAAGCAACATTTCACATTTAAAAGGAGTGTAACTCTTCATGAACAGGTTTTTATCGTCATTCAAGGCAACTGAACGACTATGTTTTGTCAGTTTTCATCAAACACGACAATGCCATCTATGTATTCAATAAATGAATCTTCCTGTTGGAGAGTAATTTCTGAAAAGTCATACAATCAGTGAGCTACAACGTAGAACCAGGCACATATATACTTCCGTCCAAGTTGTCATACCTCATTAGCACAACAAGATCAACACCGGATTCATAGAAGTATTTAATTTAGTGGTGGTAATATACAGAAGAGCGACAATTTTTATAGGTACATGGAATGTCCGGACAATGTGGGAGACCGGAAGAGTTTTCCAAATTGCTGCAGAAATGAGAAAATACAACCTGGAGGTGCTTGGAATCAGCGAAATACATTGGACGCAGGTTGGACAACAACGACTACCTTCAAGAGAACTTCTGTTATACTCCGGTCATGAAGAAGAAAATGCCCCACATACACAAGGAGTTGCATTGATGCTATCCAGAAAAGCACAAAATGCACTTATTGGATGGGAATCTCATGGACCAAGGATCATCAAAGCCTCCTTCAGAACAAAGAGAGAGGGCATTACAATGAACGTCATCCAATGCTATGCGCCTATCAATGACTACGACGAAGACGCTAAAGACCAATTCTACGACAGGCTGCAGTCGATCTTCGAGAAGTTCCCAAACAAGGACCTGACCATTCTGATGGGAGATCTCAATGCCAAGGTTGGAATGGACAACACTGGATACGAAGACGTCATGGGACAACATGGACTGGGAGAAAGGAACGAAAATGGTGAGAGATTTGCAAACTTATGTGCCTTCAATAAACTGGTCATAGGTGGCACCATATTCCCACACAAAAACATACACAAAGCCACTTGGATTTCACCGGATCACACTACACAGAATCAAATCGACCATATCTGCATCAACAAAAAGTTCAGAAGGACGATGGAGGATGTGAGAACCAGAAGAGGAGCTGATATAGCATCCGATCATCATTTACTGATCGCCAAGATAAAACTAAAACTTAAGAACCACTGGACAACGGCGCGGACATCACAAAAGTTTAATACGGCCTTTCTTCGAGATGCAGACAAATTCAACATAGCATTCAGCAACAGGTTCCAGGCCTTTCACCATCTACTCAATGGAGAAGGAACTACCATGGAGAGCAACTGCAAAGGTATCAAGGAGGCAATCGTTTCAACGTGTCAAGAGGTTCTGGGCCAAAAGAAGCACCATCACAAGGAATGGATCACTGTTGGTACACTGGATAAAATTGAAGAAAGAAGATACAAGAAGACAGCAATCAATATCAGCCGAACAAGAGCACAAAAAGCCAAGGCACAAGCCGAATACACAGAGGCAAACAAGCAAGTGAAGAGGAGCATCAGAACCGACAAACGTAAATATGTGGAAGATTTAGCGATGACAGCAGAAAAGGCTGCAAGAGAGGGAAACATGAGACAACTGTATGATACAACAAAGAAACTTGCTGGAAATTACCGTAAACCAGAAAGAACAGTGAAAATCAAGGAAGGAAAAGTAATCACCGATATTGAAGAACAACGAAACAGGTGGGTAGAACACTTCAAAGAACTCTTGAATCGACCAGCTCCACTGAACCCACCCAACATCGAAGAAGCACCCACAGACCTCCCAATCGATGTTGGCCCACCAACAATTGAAGAGATCAGCATGGCCATTAGACAAGTCAAGAGTGGCAAAGCAGCGGGACCAGACAACATCCCGGCAGAGGCACTGAAAGCAAATGTAGCAGCAACTGCCAAGATACTCCACATCCTCTTCAGTAAAATTTGGGATGAAGAACAAGTACCAAAAGACCGGAAAAAAGGACTTCTGATCAAGATACCAAAGAAAGGCGATCTCAGCAAGTGCGACAACTACAGGGGCATCACTCTTCTCTCAATACCAGGAAAAGACTTCAACCGAGTATTGTTAAACAGGATGAAGGATTCCGTGGACGCCCAACTTCGAAATCAACAAGCTGGATTTTGTAAGGATAGATCGTGCACAGATCAAATCGCAACTCCGCGGATTATTGTGGAACAATCGATCGAATGGAACTCATCACTCTACATCAACTTCATCGACTACGACAAGGCATTTGATAGCGCGGACAGGACGACACTATGGAAGCTTCTTCGACATTACGGTGGGCCTGAGAAAATAGTCAATATCATACGGAACTCCTATGATGGACTGAACTGCCAAATCGTCCACGGAGGAAAGCTCACCGACCCATTTGAAGTAAAGACCGGTGTTAAGCAAGGTTGCTTACTCTCACCCTTTCTCTTTCTCCTGGTCATCGACTGGATCATGAAGACGTCAACATCTGGAGGAAAGCACGGGATACAGTGGACAGGCAGGATGCAGCTTGACGATTTAGACTTCGCGGATGATCTGGCTCTTCTATCACAAACGCAACAACAAATGCAGGAGAAAACGACCAGTGTGGCAGCAGCCTCAGCAGCAGTAGGTCTCAATATAAACAAAGAGAAAAGCAAGACTCTCCGATACAATACAATATGCACCAATCAAATTACACTTGACGGAGAAGCTTTGGAGGATGTGGAAACCTTTACATATCTGAGCAGCATCATCGATGAACATGGTGGATCAGATGCAGATGTGAGGGCGCGGATCGGCAAAGCAAGAGCAGCATACTTACAACTGAAGAACATCTGGAGCTCAAAACAATTGTCAACCAACACCAAGGTTAGAATTTTCAATACAAATGTCAAGACAGTTCTACTGTATGGGGCGGAGACGTGGAGGAGTACGAAAGCCATCATCCAGAAGATACAAATGTTTATTAACAGCTGTCTACGCAAGATACTTCGGATCCGATGGCCAGACACTATCAGCAACAAGTTACTGTAGGAGACAACAAACCAGATTCCAGTGGAGGAAGAAATCAGGAAGAAGCGCTGGAAGTGGATTGGGCACACTTTGAGGAAGTCACCCAATTGTGTCACAAGACAAGCCCTCACATGGAATCCTGAAGGTCAAAGGAGAAGAGGAAGACCAAAGAACACATTACGCCGAGAAATAGAGACAGACATGAGAAGAATGAACAAGAACTGGATAGAACTAGAAAAGAAGGCCCAGGACAGAGTGGGTTGGAGAAAGCTGGTCGGCGCCCTATGCCCCATTGGGGGTAACAGGCGTCAGTAAGTAAAGTAAGTAATATATAGAAGAAAGGTTGTATATAACGATACAGTACAGAAAGAAAGACAGATATGAAGCAATTTTAATCTCAAAGTTTAAGGGAATATAAAGAGTGTATACACCTACACCATTGTGATCGATTCTGAGCCATGTCACCCACAGTCTCCAACCATTGGTTACGATAGTCACGTGGGCCCCAACCAAGTAGTCTGCATCTGCCAACATGGCTCAGACTAGAAGTTAGTGACTTCATGCTCTGATGCCATGTTTTGGTTTGGCCGCCCCTAACTCTTTTCCAACCATCGCCAATACAAGTCAGCATTGAGCGTCGTGGTAATCGGTGTTCAGGCATACGTAACATGTGGCCAAACCATCTCAGTCGATGAAGATTCATCACCTCATCAACTGATTTGCCATCATTCCCTAATACCCTGCATCTAACTTCATTATTACTTACCTGGTGATCCCAGCAGGTACGAGCAATATTTCTAAAGCATATGTGGTCAAATACTAGTAACCTACGAGTGTCTTCTACTGTTAATGCCCATGTTTCACAGCCATAAAGTAGAACAGAGCGAACTGTTGCGCAGTGTACTCGTCCCTTAATTGATAGACGGATATCTCGTCTTCGCCATAGGTGACGTAATTTGGCAAAAGCCAAACGAGCTTTTCGAATCCGTGGTGAGATTTCGTCAGACACCAACCCATTAGGGCTGATCAGACTTCCAAGATAAACGAAGTTGTCTACGCGTTCGACTACTTCACTCCCTATCCTTAGTTCAGGTGTTGACGCAGGCCAGTCCTGGATTAACATATATTAAAACAAATAAACCACTTACGCATAATATTTTCTTATCAGCACAACCAACCAAAAATAAATGTTGTTTATCTTCATCTGGATTAAATTGTACACAATAAGCAACACGTTTTAAATTGAATTGATTTGTACATTTACCACTTTCTGTATCCCATAATTTAACATAACGATCATAAGATGCACTTAAAAATGCTGTACCATCACTATTAAATGATACATCACGAACAGCTTGACGATGACCCATATAACTACGAATTAATCGACGTTCTTTATATAATTCCCAAAGCTATCAAGATAAACAATGTTTAATGGTATAAATAAAAGGAAAGTGAATTCAAAGTAGTATAATAATCTGAGAAAAAAATGAAATCAACTCGATGTTTTCGTAGACGAGATCATAAGTCAATTGAAGCTAGACCACCAGGGAAAACCTGGAAGCACTGGATAGCCGTTTTGTCCTATTGTGGGACTACTCAGCAGTGCGCATTCACGATCCCGCCTCGAGAGATTCAAATCCAGAACCTACCGGTCTCGCGCCAGAGCACTTAACCTATAGACCACTGAGCCGGCATCCAACGATGTTAATGTCTAACTTCAACCAACCCACGATGTTTTCGTTTTATCAGTAAATCAAACTCAATGTAGAATCTGGGACATGTGTACATATGTTTAATTTGTCATACTCAATTACTACAGAGTGTTAAAATTATTTCAAAACAGATCCTAGAGTAGTAGAAGTGGTAATAGAATCAGTGGTGATAGGAAAGAATAGGCACAGAAAACGAAAACAAGATATAAGGATCCTTCGGAACTCAGGTTTTAAGGAAAGCCAAATAATGAATACGCCTGCATCATTGAGAATAATTCTGAGCCGTATTACCCAAAATCTTGAACCATTGATTATGGTAATCACGTAGACCCTAACCAGGTAGTTTGCACGTATTAAAATGGCTCAGATTGATTGTCAATGACTTCATAAACTGATGCCCAATCTTGGTTCGACCACTCGCTTCGTAGTAACATACGGAGCAGAATACAAATGAAAAAAATAATTCGCATCACATGGAATCGAACTCAAACGACACTAAGATGTCACGGTGACCATGTTTATTATTTAGATCATTAAGTTTCGACTTAATGGTTAATATTTAGGGTTTAAATCTATTCAAGATATAGTATGATGATTATCCGATCATCCCCATCGTCTATGGGTGCCCCCAAATGCCCTGCTACGGCCGAAGATGGAGAGATTCAGCTCTCTGTCTCGAAACACCCTCACATGGCTACGCGTTTACAGCCACTAACAGAGAAGTTCTACTCATTAACTTTTCGTGGCATTAATGTTGTTTACGAAATTGAGAGGACGAAAAGCGAATATCCCACGCTTTAACCAGGCTGGTGGTTATGGTGGATACACCTAGAGGAGCAGGAAAATCATCATTCCAAACAAATGGTGCACATCGACTCCAGGATCCTGAACGAACAAATGACGTATGAACCAATCTTTGACTACCGGCTTTCATGTGACAGCATCTTCTAACGTTGATCCACTGCCTTATGGATCAGACCTTTAGGTCGAAGGCTTAGGGTGTGTGGCCCCCTAAGAAAACCACCTGCTTCTGTTTGGTCACGAGGATGGTATCACAGCCCACACACAAATCAAGTGACTTGTGTGGCGCATATTTTTCAGTACCCCTTTGTATCAATACTTATGTGTACAAACAAATAAATATTGTTTATGATACCACTGGATTCCAAGTCAACGAGTGGTCTGAATATTGAAGTTACAGTTAGGTATGTGGGTTTTGGATCCAACATCTGGTGGAATCATAGATGTGGGAATAGTTTAGGAGTTCCACACTAGGACATAAAACAACTATTCAGTTCTTCTTGGCTCCCAATAGTGCACTGAGGTCAATCTGTTAGGAGCACTATATACAGTGGAAGTTTATTTATTTATTTATTTAAACACATATATATTGGTACAAAAGGGCACCAGGTACATATGCGCCACACATACAGTGGAAGTATACTTATCAATATCCTCCAGCGATCTACGAGATAACCCTTAGAAGACAAAGCCAATGATTAGCTAGTCAGGATCCAGATGATGTAAACGAATAATTTCTTTAAAAAAATACAAAGACGGTAAGGATTACAGTTGTAGCTAGAGTAGGAGAATGTTTCGTAGTAATATTAATGAACACTTATCCAGATAGTCTTTAGACTGCAAATCTTAAAAGCATATTAGCTCCCATGGAAATGTTATAAATCATATCCAAATGTTATATACATTCCTTATCGATATCTTAATAGTTATTTAGGTTTGTTCCTATTCTTTCGCCTCTCCATGTTTATTATTTGTAAACGTCAGGTTTAACTAACTTTTGCTTTGGGCTTAACAAAATATCTTTTGTGGCGTTTCGACTTTACGTGCAACTTCAAGAGCTATCATCTTAAATCTGATTGATCCACCAGTAGAGTATGTTCTACTAAAATTAAGCAGAACATATCTACGGAATTCCTTCATTAAAGCGAATTTATTCATTAAGAATAGTGTTGTTGGCTTTTTATTATGAATTACTCCGCTAGTAAATAATGTCAATGTGATTAAACCAATTGCTTGTTTAGAATCGAATTTCTTATACTACTAGCGTGAAGCCAACCAAATCGGTAATAAATAAATATTCACTTACCAGGCATACAAATCTATGTGTACTCAACTCCAAGCCACGCTCTAAGTGCAAAGACTAGTAATACTACCTAGTTGGTCAAATCGAAGAAGGTAGGGAGGAGTTTAGACCTCAGATTTAGCGGTTGAAGGTCCAGCAGTCTAATCGCTGAGTTAATGCTCCATAGTAATAAAATGGTCATCCAAGGATAATATTTGATAGGATCTGGTTATATAATAAATTGATTGAGGTTGAAATGTAGATTTTACAGGATACTGAAGGTATCTTACTTACTACGAGACCTGAACATCGTGACAGATAGTACTTCAAGATAAAAATTTACCGTTAAAACTGGTAAAAAAACACCTCGAAAACAAATTATTTACCTTAACCTTTGAATCCATTCCAGCAGATAACATTAAGTGACCAGTTTTAGGGAAGAGGCGAATTGCTGCAACACCACGTGCATGTGCACTAATCCATTCATGAATTTGTCTTTTAGGTAAGAAGCATCGTTCTGGTGGATCAGTTGCTCGTAAATTCACATTTGGTATATCATGTGGTGCATGCAAGAAATTTCTACCCTATCAATATTAACATCAGTTAGGGTACAGATAACACAATATATAGGAAACTGATAAAATTCACATTACAAATTATAGGGTTTAACTTTGAATACACTTACTTTACATTTTATTTATAGGTTAAGTTTTTACAAGCAGGGATATTATATTAAAATTGAAACCAAACTTATCGAAAGCGTAATACTGATCATTATGATAGGACTTAATAAGATCACATTAGAACTCAAGATTTAAAGGGATATAAAAACAACAAATGTATATTTGTGACAGCTCAATTAATTTCTGCAGTTATTCTACCACCTAAGGTCGAAAGCTGATTTGAAAGTGACCAACTTGGTCTCGTGTGCTGTTACGGGTATGAGGGCTAATATCACTTCCCGGCTAACCACACCTTGGAAGGGTATTTCTTGAGGGACCTGAAAAGGAAGTTGGATTAGTGTTGGTCTTAACGACCTGGGAGCGAGACCGCAGTTCCCAAGGAACAACTGCTTGAGGTCGGTCACGCACAGCCTTCTTGTGGGGGATTTTTGACGTGTTAGCTCTGTTCTTTAAAGGGCCTTACCGCCGGAGACGGAAATCCGTGGGATAAGGCGAGGTGTGTATTTTAGGGTCCACCTTTTCTAAACCCATCCCTCCTTGTGGGAAGGCAGCATCGCTGTTATGCTGGTTGTCTGAAGGAAACACCTTACTGCCGTCACACCTCTGTACAGCCATCAGTACGGTTTCGCCTTCGGACCTTGGGTTTGCTGCTTTTAGTCTTACCGCTCTTCAACCGATTTGTTTGGCATGGTAGGACCTTGAGGAACGATTGTTCCAGTCAGTATAGCTCGATTGGTTTATCAGGATAGGCAAGCCCGACCACCACGTCAAGGTAGCAGCAACGGTCGGTGTTTACTAATATCTAATTTCTAGAGATAAGTCCAGGACTTCTAGAGAGGAGCCGCGATCAAAGCCATTTGAGCATGTCGGTTGCAAAGCAGTTACTTACCAATGCCACTCAAGAAATTCGTCGGAAGCTGATAAGTCATTATGAAAATTTCAACTAGGAAGTCAACAAAGCTGCCGATGACACGGCTTAGTCTCAAAATCAATAACTTCATTCAGCAGCTTTCTAACACTTTTATAGTCAACCTTTTTTATCGATTAAAGGATCAGAACAATACTATTTTATAAAGTGCACAACAGTTGTTAATAATTTAGACACTACGTAGAAAATGTATCAGTTGAACCTGTGACGAATTAGCCAGCAGGTGAGTACGTCTGAGGAATCTTAAAATATAAAATAAATGCCCATTCTTCCTTTATATTTAATCCTTTCTTAATGTAGGTTTAAAGTCGCAACTTAGTTGCTGAGAGCTAAACATTTTCACCAATGAGCCACTATACTCCACCAATTTATTGAACAAAAAATTAGCTGACCTGATAATCATATGGTGTTGGTATATGCAGTGTAGATTTTTCTTCAACTGGAGCTTCTTCAACAACTTTTCTCTTGCTGGCTTTCTTTGCTAAATATGCTTCCAAATAAACACGATCCTCTTCAGAAGGAACCGAAACAGTTACTTCATCTTTATATTTAGCCCATGGTCCAGTATAATCTTCACTTGTTGGATCCCAATTACTATCACGTTTACGCAAATCACCTTTACGTTTCTGGCGCTTTTCACAGGCAGTTTTTCCTGGAAAGAAAGATGTGACAAGAAGAAACATTTTTTTGATGAAAACAATAAAAAGGTCCAACACTGGACAACTTTTAAGTTTAAATTATACTTAGGTCTGGAAATTTTGACACTTTTGGGAAAGACAAATATAAAGCACTTCGAACAAGCACGTGAACTCGGCATTATATCGAATTTGGTGAAGTCGCGTGTAAGAAGACTTAGACAGTCAGTTAGCTACAAGCAATATAGAACCTGAAACGTGTATCAGTTCAAGTTGTCATACCAGGGCAATCCTACTCACTGCCTTCTCGTGATATTACTGTTGTTTACGAAATTGAAAAGACGAAAAGCGAATTTCCGGTGCTTTAACCGGGTTGGTGGATATAGAGGATCCACTTAGAGGAATTAGAAAACCTTCATTCCAAACACATGGTGAACATGGGCTGGCTCCAGTATCCTGAGGGAACAAATGGCGTATGAATCAATCGTTGGTCACCGGCTACCATGGGACTGCATCTCCTAACCATGCTCCACTGCCTTGTGGATCAGATCTTTAGGTCAAAAACTCGGGGTGTGGCCCCTTAAGAAAACCACTGACTTCGGTCTGAGCACGTGGGTAGTATCACAGCCCTCACACAAATCAAATGAGATTTGTGCGGCGCATATATATCTGGTGCTTTCGTGTACCAATATTTATGTGTTGAAATAATAATAATAACCATATCAGTACGAAGTGGAATTTTTAAGATTTGATAGAGTAGAAGTAGAAATAGTAACAGTGGTAATAAGAAATGTTAGGTATACGAAATTTTTATAATTGTGTTTTGCTATATAAACGACCCAGCTATTCCTATTGCTTAGTATTCTTATACGATGACACTCAACAAGACCCCAAAATCAGAACACGTTGAACAGGAATGAAATTGTATTCAAAATAATAATGATAAGTGAACAGCAATCAGCAATCAATAGTTTTTCTGCAATAATATGCCCGGGCTGATCGGTTTAAAATTAACCAATCAGCGCGCAGCAACACCATCATGCATAAAACATGCTTAATCCAATCTATATCCCACTAACAGAAATATAACCCAATAACGAGTGAATTTGTAGGACGAAAAGTTTAATACGAATCTAAAACCCAAGACCTACGGGAAGGGGACGAGTGAGGACATTTGCACCACTGTGACTAATTGTAAGTCATGTCACCCAACGTCTCTAACCATTAATTACGACGACTGCAAGGACCTCAATCAGGTTGTCTGCACCTAACAATACATCACAGTCTAACAGATAATGACCTTAAGGACATTTAATACCAGTATTTGTAGGATAAGTCAATGAGTAATTGAGAAAAAAGATATGTACAACTATTCAAACCAGCCTCACCTTCGTTTTCCACCATACTTTCTGGCTCTCCAACTAAACGTCGATCAGCACCTCCCTCAACAGAAGGATCTTCTGCGTAACCTATTATAAATAAATAGAGATTAAATTACCATAAACTCACCATAAGTCATAAAAGTTCTATGCTGGTTTTCAAAAGCAAACTTATTAACGTGAGCCTCTTCGACATATCCAGTTAAAGTATTTTTAGGAGCTAATTGTTTTTCAGATTTAAAAGGATTGACTGGACCGAACTGATAAAGGTAGATTATATCAAAAAAAGAGCAACACTTACAGATGGTGCAAATAATTCTTCATAAGTAGGATTATGAATAAGTTCATTAGATTGTGGATCTACAGGCACAATAGATAGAAACTCATCCTAAAAATAAAACCAATCACATCATCATTCATACACATTACCTTGTGCTCCACAACTGGTGCAACATCGATTGATTTAATTAAACTACTTTTTAAAAGTTGTGTTGGAGCAGTATCTTGTTTGGAAATCTCGTCATCAGAGGAGGAGGATTCATAAGTGACGATTTCATCCATTTTTGTTTACTAGTAAAAATACTTACTATGTGAGAAAGACCAATTCAAGTACATAGGGCTCGGCGAAAAATGATAAAAAAGCAAACCACCTGGAAGATAAAAACAAGCGTAAATGTCGCGTTCAGTAATCTTGACAATTTCATAGGCAGTAATAGTGAACACCATAGATGTCCGTACAATTAGTTCTGTACTAATTAATTACTTTTTCAAACATTTAAAAATTTATATTCTGACTGAGTTTGTTCGCTAATAAAGATTTAGAAAAGGTAATACTCTTCAAACACCAGTTTTTAAAATCATTCTTCTGTTAAATTACCCGTGTTACTAAATCTTCAGCAAATTAATGCAGTAACTTTTGTTCGAATTCAAAATCAATCTTACAGTAATATTGTAGTTGCATAGTGAATACAATATGATTTGGAAGTGAGATACTTTAAATGCTGTAGACATATTTATCTACTTGTACATCGGCAGCAAAGCTAAACCCCAGACTGATGTTAGAAAATAGAAAGTGATTGTGACTTTGAATCTAAACAGCTTTCAGAATGTCAGAGTAATGAAATAACGCATTGACAGAATTCGGACGCAAAGATTAATGATACCATGTGACCGTCATCAATCAGACTTTACATCTTTATAATTTTGTTAGAGAGCAATTTTAAGCTTTCAGGAAATATAATTCCTGTGAACCTTGAAATCTCTATGCTACATTGTTAGGCGCAATTTCGTCAACTACCAAGTTGTTTACATTATAAGTGATTACACCTAATTACAGTTTGAAAGATCTCAGGACGACTTAAACATCTCAGAATGAAATAAAGCCTCCAAGAACTGAACCGAACTTGGTTCAATATCCTCACCTAAAAAAAGATTTCAGAGGCGAACTATGCAGTGATTCAGAGGTTAAACAATTTTAAAATATTGATGGTAGCGAAAATTGGGATTTATAATCCAAAACAACTTATAAAAATAAAGTACATATGATAATCTTGTTTCAAGGTTTTTCAAAGTTTTATTTATTTATTTAAACACATAAATATTGGTACAAGGAAGCACCAGATAAATATGCGCCTCATGTGAGAGTATTTCGAGAGAGAGAGCGGACTCTCCCCACTATCAGACTTACCAGGGCATTCGGGGGCATTTCAAGGTTTACAGTTGAATTTCATGATTCTAAGAAAAATCACTAATATTAGTAACCCATTTATTAGATAATATTTAAAATTTAAGTTTTGGGGCACGTTTTAGCGAGACTATAATTTATGGACGAGCCAATCAGAAGTGTTTGAAGGATTTCAAGATCACAGCGCCGATTTTAGTACCTGGTGCTCATGTACAGTCGGATTACAGTGGATTTTAGAGAAGAAAAGATAAATAAGCATCTTCAACAAATGGGACTACTAAGAAGTTTTTTTATTTGTAATTGTGGCAATCAAATGACTAGTAGACCTTGTGAAAACTACCGTGATGTTGTCCGTCGATGTACCATGTTGGAGGAAGACGTCTGCTAGAATAGGAACCTTTATCGCTCGACCCAGATTAAGACTGAAACGAATTATGATAATGCCAGTAACACTGGCTGCAATAATCACAGATGTTACTAAAGCTTCGGATGTTCAGTGGTATGAGTATTGTAGGGTTATGCGTAATAAAAATGACAAGCTTACACAACTAGAGTACAGACAAACAATAGCGAAGCCATGAGGCCGAGGTTGAGAGTTTTCGCAACTTTATTGTGGCTCAAGAGACCGACTATTTTACAAGGTCACTTAAGATTCGTTCAAAGGTCGTCCATGAATTATAGTCTCGCCGTATCCACTTTAATTATTTCGTTTTGCATATATTTTTACTCTATGCTGACTGTTTACAGATTGACCAATATTTCTCAAGATCATTTAAGAATTGTTCGAAGGTTGTCAATAATTTATAGTATCGCCCAAGTATTCTATCCTTTATTGGATTTATTCCACTAGATTTCAGAAACAAACTGGGTGTCGCGTTGAAAATAAAACTCAAGAACATGACCAAATTTTAGTCTTCAAAAGATGTGAGCAAGCAAATAAACACCACATAGTGCACTAACAATGACATGAGTTAAATTTATATCTCAAATCTGAGTAGAATGAAACTTAGTTAAATTCATGTTGTGCGTAAATTCTGTGGCAGTTTAAATAATCGTTTTCCGTTTTTCAGCCCCAGATTATATTTTTTATGCAATGAAAACTTTCATTTGAATCTACAGTGTTTAGGACTCAATAAACGCAAAACCTTAGTGTTAGAAATCTAAAAAGAAGTAAAACCCTTGACAGGCGAGCTAAATTTAACTTCGTGAGCAAAAAACGAATCTTAAACACCCCATTAAAGGAAGGGTTACACAGCTCAGCTTAATTAAATATGAAGAAAAGTATAATACTTTACAAATTCACCACGAGCAAGTTACAACGCAAAACTCAAATTGAGCGCGCTTCAAACAGCAATATCAGATAAAAAGATATCCAACTTCGAAGTAACGAGCTTCCATAAATTGATTTCTTTTTTCTTTCCACTTTGTGTTTTGTTAAGGCCCTATATGTTTTTTACTGTTCAAAAGGCAGTCGTCCAGCTACTAGACTGAACGATTTTCAGTCATTTCTGAGATTATTTTCGGATTTGTATATCTCACAATTCTACAGCGTTCACTGATCTAAGAGCAATAGAATTTACGGAGCTAGCATGTATTACATTATCACACAGTTCATCGGTTGATTGTAGCGTGAATAACAAAAGCAGAAAACAGGCGAAAAAGGCACGATAATAGTTGAAATTAAAGTGGTAATTATAGTATACAAAATATGAATAAGGCACAGCTAGTACTAGTGGAGTGGGAGTATATTGTATGTTCCAGAGACTCACATGGGCGATCAATCTTACGTAAACTGCAGAATGATCAATATTTACATCACTGTACGGCATTATTGATTTAGCATCTTATTCTGCGTTTTTTAACATGCAGTTTCGTTGGAATTTCTGTTACTTGTAATAACTTAAAATTGTTTCTTTTAGGTACATCGTTTGTTTTAGATAGTGCAAGCTAGATTATGTTTCTTATCGTTTTCCAACACGTGAGGATACAGTGAGTTGACTATGTTCAAGATTTCCATCTATCGAATATGTTCATCTCCCATCTATACAAATAAACCAACAAGTTAATTAGTGGGTTTGTGTGATGGTACTATTTTATGGGTTCTCACTTGTCATCATGTCTGAAGATTATACATGATGAAGGATGTCAAGATATATCTATTAGCAGGTAGAACTCAGACTAGTCACTGAAGAAACTTCAGGTAAGCCATACAAACTAGACACACTGTGCAAAGAAGTGTAATGGAGAAACAGACCTGAGTTATTGGAAAGTTGAAGAATTAGTTTAGCTGCACTTCGAAAGAAGAGACCTAACCGAAAGCTTTGCAAAAAGCGAAGCGTTCTGCCACTAAGTGGAAGTGTCCATTTGTAAGTAACAAACGAGTAAAGTCAAGCCGTTTTGACACAATGAATATAGACGGTTAAGAGACAAGGTCCACTGCACTAAAATTAAGTCAATGAAGTGGGATCGGAATAACAAAACCATTCGTGGGAACATTTGTCCAAGTGGCTGTAAATTATAGTTGAATTCATGAGCCAATTAAAACTGGACTACCATGGAAAACCTTCACACACGGAATGACCGTTTTATCTTCGTAAGAGACTTCTCATCAGCGCGCGTCCGAGATCCTGCCGGCGGGACTCGAACCCAAGATCCGTCGGTCTCCCACGAAAACGCCTGACATCTAGACCACTCAGCCGACATCCAATGGTTTTAATGCCTAACTTCGACCAATCCACGAAATCGCACCACTGCCCATCATTGTCTTCAGTGAGTTACTATCTTACAACAGTCCCGGTTGAACCGATACGTCCTGTGTTCAGATGCCGCGGGCAGGATCGTGAGTGCTCACTGTTGAGGAGTCTCATACTAAGAAGTAACGGCTGTTCTTTAGCTGCTCTAGCTTTAATTAACTCATAAATTCAACTACAAAATTACTACAATCTTCACAAACCCTCTTCTGATGATAATAAATTGGTTAGGATCTTTTATACGCTCCCATCGAGCCACTTCGCATAGTACGTCATTTCATCTAAGAAATAAAAATTAGTGATTAATGGAGCGCGGTGTTGAGAAAGAGAAATCAAAATGGTCACAGTTCGAGATGTGCAAAATAGAATATGTAAAACCTACCAAACTTTCCTCACTTTTTTGATGGCCTTACTCATAGTATTTTCACGGTGGATTTGGCATTAGGCTAAGTAGATACGACAATGTGAGTTGAAAAGTTTCTATGGGCGTATATAACATGAAGGTTGGATGTGTTATACCACCCCTCCCACACGTTTGTTTACGGTTAATTACATCAGCCCCTCCCACCAATTTATTTGACAAACGGTTTTTCGTACACTAACAATTTGCGTAAATTATTATCATGTTTGCATTAACATGTGTGCTTGATCACGTGTATGACAGCTCACGCATACATCCCCCACATTGGTTTAAATGTTTTTACTTAAATCGCTGAATGAATCATTCCCTTTCCCATATATATGCTCAAATCTTTTAATTCATTCGACTCTTCATTCAGTTCTCTATTCGATTATCGATACTCCCGTATGTTCGCCTGCTGGCTACTTTTAGCATTTCAGCTCGAATTCTTTTGGTGTGCCTGTGACTAGGTGATCTGAAATATTCAATAATAAACTATAGTCGGCGCTGTTTGTTTTCCAAATTTATAAACTGTTAATATTTATTTAATGACGGTGATCAAGGTGATTGATATTGGAGGTCTGATGAACTACAACGAAGTTGATCAGCCAAACTATAAAATATGATTCCCACCTTCCTAACTCAGCAGGTTAGGCAAAAATACTCTTCAAGTATAGAACAATAGTTCTATTTTAATCCCTTCACTAAATGAATACTTATTTCAAACTATTACAGAAGTTATTGCTTGAATGTAAGTCTGTTTTTAATTGGCAGTGAGAAAGCTATTAACTGCATAAAAAGCCATTTTTGTACTTCCACAAGTTACGCAAATATAAGCAGGTAAATCTTACTTTATGTCCTTTGTAATCGGCCCGCACACCATACTGCATATCAAGACGACTAAACTTAAAACAATCTGGACTGTCGACATAAGTAAACTGATTGCGGGAGTACTGATATATGGAGTTATTACCTATAATTTTTTTAATACCTTCAGCTTGCGTGTTGGTACTCTTGTGCATTACAACAATCCAGCTTCTGTGTATGACATGTTGACAAACACAAAAGGAGACAAAAATGCGAAGAGCCAATTCTTACAGCTGCAAGGTAAAAGAATCTGCAACACACTTAACAGCTCAGCGATTTTCTATTCTTAATACCGTGTATCTACTCTTATCAATTGTCCATTAATCTAGGCTATGTTTAAGCAAAGTATATTCGACTGGAGATCGTTTATATTGATGGATGATTTGGTTTAATATGCATACAACATGGAATTAGCTAAACAATATGTATTCTTAAAACTTTTTAAACATCTTAAACAAGAAACCTACCTGCAAATCACTGTGGTAAATCTCTTTACTAACTGGCCCAATTTAGCATAAATTAGATTTAGGCATGTGATTTATCAGAGCCCAACATATAGTATCAAATAAGTTACGCATCATATTGAAAATATTCCTTCGAAATGCCCTTTACAACTATTGAGCAGACAGAAAACTGTGTCATGTGGCCCACTATGTTTACGTGACAACATGTGATATACTTTCACTTGTTCAAGAGGGAGGCGGCAATTCATAAGTGAGATGCATTGGCATTTGGCCACAACTACACAATCCTCAAAGCTGAATACGAGTTAGTAAGAAAATAGACCATCAACGTGTAACGTTAAGAGAAGGTCAATAATGGCGAACGCATGAACATTCACTCCAAATTAGGCTCATCGAATGGTATGGCACGGCCCTGCAGGCGTGGTGATTCTTATGTAGCCTACATCTTTTTAACCTAAATGTGTTCTCCATCATATATTGGTGATTGTTACGATAGGATGAGTCGATGTAGACAATTATGTGACATTCACGTAAGATCTTAGAGATTAGTCAGTCACATCATTACAAATTTACAATTTTAGGATTAGGTCTGTTATTACAGCTGTACTAATAACGAAGTAGAGTATAGTTCAACAGAGGATGTGCTTATCAACGCTCCTCTTCAAGCTATCCATTGAGGAGGTGTGGTCTCCACTAAGAAAGCATTCTAAATGAAGCAACACTTAATGGAAATAATAGGGGCATGCCTAAAATTTTCGCTCCTTGATGTGTGAACTTTTGTAGGTTGCTCCACGGAAAATAGTGATATTCTGGTAGAATCCTTCAGTTGAGATGATTTAACGTACTTACTAAATTGTCTGCGATAACCAAATTACTTTTTATTCATCTTTGGCTCAAAGAAAACGGTCTGATGTTAGAGTCTGTACCCATAGGGTTCATCACTTGGCACAACACCCTCTTACTTTCCCGTCTATGCACTCAGTCTGAAAGATCTGAGTCTCTTTCGCAGAGAAGTGAACAACAACATTTCATACTTTTAGCCAATGTAGTTACTAGCTCAAGACCCTGCTATAAGGACACGGTTCGGGTGGATTTTCATGGAGAATGTAGGTTATTTGTGTTCTATGTATTTCCTTATTTTAAAATTGACTAGTCCATTCATTACCACCAAAAGCACAGAACTTAATACTACTGATTCGGATATTTCTTGTTTTCTTCTTTGAAGAATGTGGATTGTGAATATCATTGTCATATTACGCGAATCCCTGTAATTATGGAATGTGCCCCAAATGTCTTATACCAGTGTAGTGAGAACTTCCACCCACGTGTTCAGGATTACACGGCCTATGTTGTTGCACCCTTATCACTTTCCTAGGTACAGGGATCCTAGCTTTCCTAGTGTTAAGACAGGAGTTAGATAGATATTCTTCAGGCCACCATTATGAACCACAGTCGAGAAGTGTTTCACGCCTTAAGTTCCTCGTTTAGTCGATCTGCGGAATTGACGTTAAAGACTTGGATTACCTGTAGATGAGTAAGATCCTTGGTGTCATGCTTTTTAGGAGCACAGATTCCCTTATTTGTAGGCTTTGGTTTGGTCACAACTCTTTAGAGATACTTTGTGTTAGCTTGTATTGCGGCTTCTAGCTTCGTATGGGAATATCTCCAGTCGCTTTAAACTTTGGTGTTGCATAAACTTCTAGATGCCAGGGTAGAGCTACGGTTAGAATCGTTTATGGCAACTTTCCACTTATTCCAAACTCTTCTCTATCTTTAAAGAAAGAGTACTGTGCCTCGCTTAACTCAAAATCTCTTTCCAGGTGTGTATTATGCTTGATGCATGTTCTGTAGGATAGGTGCGTGAATAGTATCTTTCACTAGTTCTCGACGGTAATCCACCACTATCCTCCACCATTCTTATGATTGTGAAGAGTATTGATGGTGCTCTCTCGTGGCTGTGTAGTCTGCTCTGTTTCAACAAGGATCAGAACATTCTCGTCTCTTTGGTGTTCCATGAGTTAGCTGTTTATCGGGAGCAGTCCCCGCAGTATATACAATAGCTGAAGATTAAGTTGTGGCTCTTACAGTCGCTTATTTACTCAAAACTATGTTAGAAGAATTGGATACACTGGTGAAGATAAACACAACTGTTTTCAGTGTGGTCTCATACCTCTCCCATATTACTGTCGTCAGTGGATTACTCATGTGTTGCTAGGATAAACATCTGAATCACAGACAGGAAAGACCTAACATGAACAGATATTACTGCTTAGGTACTGCAGTGTCAAAACGACAGTAGACCCAGCTATTACAGAACTTGTATTCGAATGGTGAGCCACCGAGCTTAACTGGCAACGAACATGCGGCGTAGCTATCGTTTTTTATACCCTCCCCCCCAGCAGACTGTATTATGGACATGTTGGTATTCCTTTTCTTCGTACTTCTTTTTGTCAACTAATTTTACTAGGAGTCGGGATCTGGGTAAGAGTGCGATTCTTATTACTTAGTCAGAGACTCGGTTTCTTGTGCTTGGGTCGAGTGATCAGTATTTCGCACATTACACTGAGGTTCATTATCTAGTGATTTTCGATCTTTCTTATAATCCTGTTACTAGAAACAAAGATTTTCGACATATTAATAACTCTGATTTAAGATCTCTATTAGTCTTCCTTGTAATTATACTGCAAATACCGGTGGCAACGTTATTAGTGTACATGCTACTCAATAGACCTACTACCATTATTCTTATGATGGTAATAATTATAATGACAATAATAATAATTGTTTTCAAAACCTGCCTCATTGTTCCTTTTGTCATATGCACCCATCCTCCTCTCCATAAAATTCATTTTATTTGTTCTCTTTTTCAGCTTATTGATGAGTTTTTCCTAACCCTTACTTTCACTCCACTACATTCTAATTTTAAACTTTTCACTTTTCAACCAACCATTCTCCTGATCGGTAACGCTATTTGTGATGACTTAGGCAGCTCTGCTGCTTCACAAAAAATGCGTCTACCTAAACTCAAGATGTGTCGATGTACAAACAGCTGTCGAGTTCACGAAGATAATTGCAGCCGAGTGACTAGGATACCTTCAATGAGCGCTACTAAAGACCTGGAACTGTGCCATAACATCAAAAACCGAACAAAATATAATCATTCGGACTATAATAGCTCTTTATAAAGATTTTTCGGATGCAAGTTAGCATAACAAAGAACAAGTATTAAATGATGGTCATTATGACAACGCACCGCACATATTTGAACGTGTAACTGCACATTGAGGTACTTTGTAGACAGAAAACAGTAAACGAAATTAAGTATCAGGAACTTATCTTGCAGTCTAGATTTTCAAACCTTCGAAGGTTTTTATTAGATACATGTATTAGCTCTATCCATCGTCCTCAAACTCGTGATTTATTCTATTTACATTATTTTATTATGAAGAACGTAATATTCTAATGAAACTTATGACTTAAGAGCTAAAACATTTCTGAGGATAAATGATCACAAGGATATGCTTAAGAAACAGATTATTTTTGAGGCATATTATGTTTCAGTGTGTTCGTAAGCCGATGTATTGATTGATATGCTAAATAAATGTTTGGTGAAATACGGTCATTCATGATGTTTGACCAGTACTTCTACGCACTCCATTTCAGATTCAACTTTGATAACTTTTAGTAGTTAAATACTAAGTTTCATAGACTGTAGGATCGATTTAATAGAATATCACGGCACTTGTTATAAATACCAAATTTAACAAATTATTTTATCCCTGTTTTTATCCTCTTGTTTCATTGGACGCTTAAGCTTGCTTCCTCAAGAAAATCAATATGTTGTTCAAGTCAAAAGATAGCTGCCATTAGTTCTTGCTTGTCCACCGTCTGGTTTCTAGGCGATAATTTCCCAAACTGATTGTAATCCCTCGTAACTTGTTATCGTATAAAGCTAGACAACTAATAAAATTCATAATAGAAGTTTTATATTTTGCGCCAACAGCTACAACGCGGAGGCACAATCTGACATAAATATTTCAAGAGAGTGGTTGTTGGGCCAAAAATAATTGATGACAACTATGTTATGCAACCACAGAAGCTCAGCTTTCACTGTGCCTTTTGTAACTGACGGCGTAACGTAGAGAAAAAATTATAAAGGCGCTGTTTTCTCAGTACCTTCAACTGCGTTTACCACTTTACGTTTGCATGCCAAAGCGTATACATTAGAAGGATAGATATAAGAGCAAATATCTGCATTTCCGATTATGCTCCAAAGAATTTAAGGACAATAGAAGCAACGGCTGTAAGTAGTGCAATAGCTTACCATTTAATTGACACTAAGCATGGTGTTGATATTTTCCAATCCTTTAAAAGTTTCAGTGGACAAAACGATGCAGCGTTTCAACGATCTGCCGAATCAGTAGCAATTAAAATCTTAAACCTTATAAATGTTGTCAAAAAGAGACAGTAATCAACTTTTCATTACCTTAATAAGTTCATAGGCTTGTATAACACCATCCAAAATTATTATTTATTGGTATTTACTTAGTTACACAATCTTTGATAAACTAATTCTCATCTCATGTACATAAAAATAGTTCATTCATAGGTCTTTTCGCTCACTCAATTCTTCAGACTTACGTAAACTCTTCTTATCTCGTCTAATTATCACGGAAGCCTCAGTTATTAATTATGGGTGCTTACTACCTGATCTAAATCTTCTACATATATTTTCAAGTGATCTTAAATTTAAGTAAACTTCTCATGAGTTCCATAATTATTACACAGTCAATCTTATCTGCCTTTGGGCTCCATTTGATTAACCCCTCGCCTGTCTCTGCTTTTAAATTCCATCTTTAAATGGCCCTACGTATATTAATCCATATATATATATATATATATATATAAGTGTTATTATTAATCTTTGTTATTCTAGTTCTTTCCGTCACCAAAGTCGATTGCTTCACATTACACCTTATATCATTGTTACATTTCAATACAGATACAGTCATAAGCAGTTGATGGGAAACCATGAAATATGTTCGAATTGTATAACTCCGTTTTAAATGTTGTTTTCTCTTCATTAAAAGTTGTAAAAAACAATTGGATGAGATAAGAAACATTTACCATTAATTTTTCTGAAGTTAGAATTGTACAAAATATATTTTGGCATCATATAACCGAAAACTTTCTTAAGTTTACTGAAAGAAATGTGCTTTTTTGTAACAGATAAAAGGTTAATTTATCGAACTATCTTTAATTATAGTTTTATTCAGTAATTACTGAGTAACTAGATCTCTATGTAGTTATATTCCACTTGTTGTAAGCTTTCGGTTAACCCAATAACTGTCGTTATTTAACTTACTACTCCTAATTTGTTCTCTGAGCTCAGAGAACAAAACTCCGCCAAAATCACCCACCTGAGCTACAAATCTTCTCCACTATCTCCATATTATTGTGTAACGCGGTCTGGTATGTCTGGGAATATAACACACCTGTTTGGAATGTAAATATATTCGAGTAGGTTGCTACTTTGGAATTCAAGAAGGATAAATCACGTTGGTTAGGTGAGATCGAGTGAATTATCATTCTTCTACCTCGATTGTATGTCTCAAAGACACATGATGCACCAAGGCAGCAAAATTCCATCAATGACATTATTAATTCCATTTATGTGAGTCTAATCGATTCGTAACCAACTCCGTGACTAAATGTAGATCAAGACCAGTCTTTGCATATGTATGGGATATCTGACTAATCTTTAGTTTCTTTTACTAACAATTGTGAGTGACTTAGTTTGCTATTGTCCTCCCCTGATAAAACTGTGATGAGACATTTAAATAAGAGAAGCAGCAGTTCGATGGTTAAATAACTTGACATTTGGTAATATCACTAGCTCCTAAATAAATAAATATGTGGCTAGAAAGAGTACATAGCTTGTACTTGATCATTAAGTTTTATAAAATCAGAGTAGTAAGTCAGGCAGGCAAGATATCACTTTTATAGTTCACTGATCACTAGCTATTGTGCTAAATGCCACATAAAATGTCACATTTAATATATTAATGTGAAATATTTTATGTAACTACTCAATTTCTCCACATTTCTTGTTGATTTATTTTCTTCAAAACAGTACTTCTTCCTGGATTTAAAATTACACAATTTCTCCGTCTCAGAATTCATATAAAGTCTAATGATAACGGAAACACTAAAAGAGGAGGATGTCGACAGTTTCGAATGCAGTAAAACATTATCTGAAGAAAAAGTAAGTTGTCCGTCAAAAACGAATTCGTAATTTTTCCTTATCAATTTACACATAATTAATCTTCTCGGAAAATATAACTAGGTAGGAACAAAGGAGATACTTTCAGGTTAAAGTAAGTTATCGGTTTATTTCATCAGTTAAAATTAGCCAAAGCAAAGTAGAATAAAAAGTAAAAGAGACAAATAAGCCAAAATACCATGAAGGCAGTGTTGGAGATATTAAGCAAAATTTATTGTTTGTTTTCACATGATGATTAGCAAACGAGTGATTTTCTAGGGTATTAGGGGCAGCCAAATTAAAAACATGGAACTAATTTGTAAAGTCACTAACTCTTAAGCTTAACCGTTTCAACAGATGAATATCTCTTGATTGGAGTTGCTCGAGGTAATCCTAATCAATAGTTGGGGATTCTAGATGACATGTTTTGAAGTTTACCTCATTGAAGTAGGCACATTAATCCTATCTTGGAGATAATAACGCTTCATACATTTTTGTCCATGGAGTTCTATCATCTTTTTCACAATTATATTTTATTTTTGCTTATCTGCTTCCTCCCCACTCATTAACATCTTTTACTCCGATCCAGATTACTTGGAATCAGAAGTGTCTTTTCCAAGGTCTCACACTGTAAATGACTGATTGGCTGATTGCACTGCACTTATAACTGAGCTTCGTAAAATTGCATAAATGGACTAACCCATATCTACGACTAACTTAAGATAACGAGATTTAATTCAATTAAAAGACGGTTAGTAAGACAGGGACTCAATGAGAGTAACTTAGGTGAAAAAGCTCCTCTCAATTTAGTTACTTATATCCATGGGATTCCTAACAATTATGGTGTTGAAGCCATCATGCATATATTTAGAAATCGATTCAGTTATAAGGTAAAAACTTCCGAAGCTATTTTTCTACGATTATACATATATACATACATTGTTTGCGTGTGTATTAGGTAATTCAGTTTTATTATGTCCAAGTTTTGCAGGTTTTTATTTGAACTGTGAATTGTTGCTATGACATTTATAACTCATAAACTAGAATTGATTATTTATGTACCCAGTACTCTGTTTTTCTCATCATTATTGCTGTTGTTCAGTATTAGTACTATTACTCAATTGGTCTGTTGCGTGATCTAGTCTTGTATGTATATAAACAAAATAATAATCTTGGACTGGTGATCACTGGTCTTGTATTCTTTCCCTTCATTCGGGACTAAATAGTATAGGGACAACCGTCAATTATAGAGTATCAGTCTTTCTTGTCCTTTTTGCTCATTGATTTCTTAAGGTCATCTATGTGTATTAGTTGATTGTGAGACATCACAGAAATGATCCTAAAAGCAAGTTATAAAAATCTTTCTTTCGATATTGTTTGAGTGCAGATGGATTCGAACTTAGAAACATATTTTAACTTGATCTGATCTTAACTTTTGACAATCCTCACTTGTCGTATTGACTGTTTGATAATCCTTAAGTTTTGTTGAGCATATGTTTCATAAAAAATTAACTTCTTATCAAACCAGTTAAGCAGATTTTAGAACATTGACGGTTATAGTTAAGATACTATTCATTTTACATGTTGATCAGTGAAATCATCGATTCATCCACACGTCTTTATATGTTTGGCGCAACAATGTTCTAGGTTAAATATGTTGAGTAACTAAGAAAGTGACCAATTTCATCATCTCATCGACCAGTCAGTTATATGTGTCAGTGAGGTACTTAAACTACTATGTTGTCTCCCTGATTATCAAAAGTAATGGACTGATGTTTGGTGATAGAAGGGAACTGACAGAAAAACCATGGACTAAGGTTTCATGATATTCCTAATGTAAGAAGCAATTTCCTACAGGTCAAACTCTAAGCTATTCTCTAGACTGTCGAGCACAGTCTTGTTTTGCTCAAAGTCAGAAAAAGTAAGCTATTTGGCTTAATAAACTTTATCTGTTTCGAATAGTAACTAGAGGATAGGGAAAATGAGTCAACAAGGCGAATATTGTTTTACACTGAACATAACATTGTGATTGGTGAATAAACAAGACATAGTCATACATGGTTAAAGAAAGTCAATGTGATGGTGAGCGATTCATCTTATTATTGGTGCGTTCATTTTTCGATCTCACTTTACACCTAGTCTTCAACAAGTTGTACCTACATTTCAGAATTGATGTTCACTCTGGGACTCGAACACAGTACCGTTCGCTTCAAACGCCATCGCGTTATCCACTCGGTCACTGAGTCCTGCTCACAAATTGACATGTACAATTGTCTATGTTCTGATTGGTTGCTCAAGGTCACAAGATTGATCAAGAGTGATATATCCTTTTGTTTTACACAGTAATCAGTGACCTGATTGAACATCTAGGCTATCTGTTGTATTTCAAAGAGTTAGCTGTATTTTGTTAGTTTAAATACATCGTTATGACTATTAATCACATAACTTATTTAGATGCGCTTACGAAAAGTGTACAACCTTTCGTTGTACAAGTTACAAAAGGCCCAATCAGAGATATCGTGATTGTTGGCAATATGCAGCGAAAAGAATATAAATCATTTAGATGTCGATTGATTGAACCGCTTACTTCTAACTGGCAATCACTCAATATTTATTGTCAGAATCGATCAAGAACTAAGAGACGGGAACTTGCTGAGATACTTTGTATTGTGAATTCTATATTATACTAAAAATATAATATTCAATAAAGCTAATGATAATAAGATTTTAATAGTTGAAATTATGAGTCAATTAAAGCTAGACCATCATGGAAAACTTGGAAGCACTGAACAGCTGTTTCGTCCTATTGTGGGACTTCTGAGCAGTGCGGAAGTCGAACCCAGAACATATAAGTGTCGCTCACAAGCATTTAACCTCTAGACCACTAAGGTGGCCGGCATCCAAAAGTGTTAATGTCTAATTTCAATCAATCTATGAAGTTGAACAACTGTGGTTGGTGAATGCAAACTGCTCAAGAGTTCTACTGTAGGACAAAACGGCCATCCAGTGCTTCCAGGTTTTCCATGTTTGTCTAACTTCAATTGATTGATGATCTGAATCCCTTTCTGATGATAAAATCTAATTGTTTTTCCTTTTAGATTTCAATGGAAGACAATACTGATGATGATGATGATAATGATTATAAATTAGCACTTGAAAAACTTTGGGGTAAAGAAATAGCTAATTATTATTTAAATCCAAATCATCAAAAATCAATTAAACAATCAAATGATAAATATTATTTAATTGGTGGTTATCCAAATGGTATGTTACATGGATCTAGGATACCATTTAATTATGAATTGAAACCATGGTTACTAAATATACCACATAGTAACATGAAACAATCCGGTTCATCTAAAGTACCTAATATTATTGATTTGTTGAAATATCATATAGGAACAAATTATAGTGCCCAATATTTATGGAATTTATTAAGATATAAATCATATGAACAATTAATTAATTATGAAAAACAATTAAGTCATGAAGATTATAATACATATGCTTCATTTACATATGAATATGTATTATCAAAGAAACAAAAGGTAAGTATGAAGGATATTGTTTTGTTTGTTTGTTTGTTAAAATTGAATTGTATGCTTACCCCCTAAATTTCATGATATGGTCGAGGGAGAGAAGGGTCAGGGTATACAGTCACTATCACGGAAGTCCTACTCACTGCCTTCTTGTGGCGGGGGGGGGTGTTGTTTATAGAATTGAGAGTATGAAAGGTGAATGTCCGGTGTATACGGAGGATACACCTAAGAAAGTTGGAAAACCCTCATTCCAGATCAATGGTGCACATGGTTTATAGTATCTTGAACGAACAAATGACTTAGGAAGCGATTCTCAATCACCTGCTACCATGGGATTGCATCTCCTTATGTTGTTCCGATGCCTTGTGGATCAAATCTTTAAGTCGAAAGCTCCGGGTGTATGGTCCCCTAAGAAAACCATCTGTTTCGGTTTGGTCATCTGGACAGTATCACAGTACATACACAAATCAAATGAGATTTGTGTGATTCAGGGTATACAATCACTACCAGAGAAGTCCTACTCACTGCCTTCTCGCTACTAGGGTGTTCTTTACGAAGTCGAGAGCACGTAAAGCGAATATCCGATGCTTTAATCAGGCCGGTGAATGGTGGATCCACCTATGAGAGTTGGAAAACCTTCATTGAGTGAATTGAACTGATTCAATGTAAAAGAATTACACAAAAGAATAAAATATAATCTGTATTAAACATCGTAAAATAATTCAATAGTTAGAATAATTGAACAGTTCCTGTTCTCTTTATGTTCAAAGTACGAATCCCCAAGTTCACAACTGCACTTCCTATCCTCGACATAACTTGTAACCTTAACTGTTGATCACTCTGGTTGCTATGTCTCCTGAACGCTTAACCCAAGCTACATATTACGCTGAAAATATTTCTCATGAAACTAATGTAAAGAATGTCACTTACTTACCCGTGTTACCCTTTTTAGTTAAATAAGTGTTATAAACATAGAAACATGAAATAGTTGTTTCATCCTTATATGGAACTCCTCGGTAATCCACGTCCTTGACCTCATCTAGGGTTGAGTACAAGACCATTACGCTTAGTATCGAGCGCTTAACATTCAGATCATTGATTTGGAATCCAGTGATTTACATCGATAACTTCAATCAATTATTGACCTTACATTTCTATCGTCTATGTTATCGATGCGATTCATCTTACATTTGACATGGTTGAACCCAATTTATCATGACTTCTTGCTAGAATACGAGGAATTATCACTCTCAATAAGTCACCGTTAAATACTTGATAAATTTTTTAATATAAAAAAAGTTATTCTCTCGGTATTGTTAGTTTGAATCTTCCCATTGATGTTTAGTACTACAATTGATCAGTCTCTCAGAGTTGATGTTCACTCTTGGACTCGAATCCAGTACCGTTTGCTTCAAACGCCATCGCATTATCCACTCAATTACTGAGTCCTGATAGCTACATGCTTGTGCAATGGGTGGAAGTATATACTCACTTGGTATTGTTTGTTTGAATCTTCTCATTGATGTTTAGGACTGCAATTGATCAGCCTCTTATTGGTCATATGTGCATACTGTGCGTATTGCCTAGATATTACCTTAATTCACAAGTATTATAAGCATATGTGGATAATGGCTATCAGTGGAATCCAGGACGCGCTTTTCGTCCTATTTAGGACTCATCAGTTGGATGTATCTGCATCTCAGAGTGGATATTCACTCTGGGACTCGAACCCAATACCTTTCACTTCAATCGCCATCGCAGATGTAGGTACATCCAGCTGATGAGTCTCAAATAGGATAAAACACCCATCCTGGATTCCACTCTTAGCAACTATCCATCTTTGTATATAATAAAGTGATTATTTTCCTATTTTGATTCCTTTTTTTTTAGCCACCATTATGTGATTTCATTCGTCATAATCCATCTAATTCATTAATTCATATAATGAAACAATTAAAATCATCATCAATTAAAAAAAAATTACATCAAATGAATTTATCTACATTATGGGCTAATCGTAATCAAGATCAATTTCGTATTCTGTCTTATCAACAAGATTTAAAAGATACAATTAAAACCATGGCAACTAACAATTTCTATTCTTCCTCTTCATCATTATTGAATAATCAAATGAATCAAAAACAAGTGAATGAATTGATATCATTATATCCTATATTAAAAGATAAACATAATGAAACATTTATTGATAATGATTTACAACCATTAGAGAAGTAAGTGAATGATATTGATGTGATTGAGTCTGAATGGCACCTCCCCCCCCCGAATGTTGTAGTATGATTGAGGGTGGAGAGAATCAGTTCTCTCTCACATGGATGGGTGTATATAGCTACTAGATAGTCGTTTCGTTCTAGTATGGGACTTATCAGCAGTGCACACTCACAACTCTCCAAACGGTGTACAAATCCAGGCCCTTTAAACTCATGTATGAATGCCTAACCCTTATGCCACTGAGTTTGGATCCATTAGCGTACAAGTCTTATTTCAATCAATCCACGATATTATACGATCATTCTCTATTGTTTTCAGTGAGTAAATTTCTCTCACCCAAACGCTCTGGTAGGACAGAGGGTAGGTAGAGTCAGCTCTCCCTTTCGAAATGCTCTCATATGATCATGTGCATATAACCATTGACAGGGAAGTCCTACTCACTGCCTTCTTGCCACTTGGGTGTTGTTTATGAAATTTAAAGGACGAAAAGAGAATGTCTGGCGCTTTAACCAGATTGGTGGACACGGAAAGTCCACCAAGGAGAGTTGGAAAATCTTCATTACAAACTAATGATGTACATGGACTCCAGTATCCTAAGGGAACAAATGAGGTACGAACCAATTATTGGTCACTAGCTACCATGGGACTGCATCTCCTAACGTTGTTACACTGCTTTATGGATCATAGCTTTAGATTGAAGGCTCACGGTGTACCCCCCAAATGTCAAACAATCATGATTTAGCTTTTTTGAATGAAATGATTATTCCGAAAACAAAAAAACAAACGGAAAAATTATTAAAGATGTATAGTTTTAGATTGTTAGCTTTCTAACCTTATTATCCTACTTACTTACTTACGCCTGTTACTCCCAATGGAGCATAGGCCACCAACCAGCATTCTCCAATCCACTCTGTCCTGGACCTGCCTTTCTAGTTCTATCCAGATTTTGTTCATTCTTCTCATGTCTGTTTCTATTTCTAGGCGTTATGTGTTCTTTAGTCTTCCTCTTCTCCTTTGACCTTCAGGATTCCATGTTAGGACTTGTCTTGTGACGCTGTTGGGTGATTTCATCAAAGTGTGTTCAATCCACTTCCAGCGTTTCTTCCTCATTATAATTTGATTAATTAAGTCCTATCATTATAAAGAGCTAGACGAAATACAAGATCAGTATGATTACTCCATTGGAACTCATATGAGTTATACACATGATATGTAGATGTTCAGTCAGTTGTACCTTATTATCATTTGAATCAATGAAAAAACTTCCGAATACACTTTCTTTTTATTCATTATCAGTATAAGACGATATTGTCATTTGAATGATCATTGTACTTTTATATCTTATATAATGAAAGATATAGTAGTATTTTATACACAATATGGCAATTAATCTTATGATTTTTAATAGTTGAATTCATGATTTCACTAGTAGGATTCGAACCCGGGATCTTCGGTCTCGTGCTTGTAAATACGCACTTCTGAGGAGTCCCATACTAGGTCGAAACGGCCTTCCAATGCTTCCAGGTTTTCCATGGTGATCTAGCTATAATCGACTCATGAATTCAACTATTAAAAGTTACTAGAATTTTTTATAAATGATTGAAATCATTAGTCAATTGAAGCTAGACCATCATGGAAAATCTGGATACACTGGACGGATGTTTTGTCCTACTATGGGACTCCTCAGCAATGCATATTCACTATTCCACCCCACCAGATTCGAACCCAGTTACTAGAATTCACAAAAACCCCATTCTGATAATAATAATAATCTTATGATTACAATACATTCTTCTCATTAAATCAAGTACTTGAAATTCACAATGATATACTTGACCTATGAAAAATTGTTTTATTACCTCAATTAAGATAAGCTTATAATGACTTCTCCATCATGAATTGATATTCACTGGCTAAGTAATAAAACATTAAATGATTAGTAAATGAGTGTGTATGTTGTTTTTTTTTGGGGGGGGGTGAATCTAGTTCAACACTTTTGTTTCTACTTTGTACTACCTAATGCAATGACACTTACAAGTGTAAATAAAAATTTACTTCGGTACATTTCTCTTTACAGTCATTGATACATACTATTGTGCATTATGGAACTAGGTAGAATCAGCTAGCTAACTGGTAATATCTGACTTGAAGCGATTCTCTTAGAGATGATACTGTCTTAGATGAAGAAAACAAATAGTATATACTTGCTTACTTACACCTGTTACTCCCAGTAGAGCATAGGCGGCCGACCAACATTCTACAACCCTCTCTATCCTGGGTCTTCCTTTCTAGTTCTATCCAGTTTTTGTTCATTCTTCTCATATCTATCTCCTTTTCTCGGTGTAATGTGTTCTTTGGTTTTCCTCTTCTCCTTTGACCTTCAGGATTCCATGTGAGGGCTTGTCTTGTGACACAATCGGTTGGTTTCCTCAAAGTGTGTTCAATCCACTTCCAACTCTTCTTCCTGATTTCTTCTTCAGTTGGATTCTGGTTTGTTCTCTCTCACAGTAGAATGTTGCTGATAGTGTCTGGTCAATGGATCCAACTGTTAATAAATACCTGTATCTTTTGGATGATGACTTTCGTAGTTATCCACGTCTCCACCCCATACAGTAGAACTGTCTCGACATTTGTATTGAAAATTTTGATCTTGGTGTTGGTTGACAGGGAGTTGTTTTGAGTCTCAGATGTTCTTCAGTTGTAAATATGCTGCTCTTAAACAGTATATATAGACAATGAAAACGAAAGTGGTTATATAATACAAACTTTTAATTGGTAACGTTGGACTGTGGATATCAATGATAGTTATGGTATTTATTTCGTCTTGTCTGCTACTCATCATTTGGATGTACCCATACCCGTGTTGATATTCATACTGAAGCATTAATCTAGTATCCGTTCGCTTCAAGTTTAAATTACCAATCCAAATCACTGTCGAATTGTTCTCATTATGAGTAATGACAGTACTAGATTGTAGCGACCAACAAAGTTTTCACGATTTGAGATCATAAAATCATATTGAACATTGCATACAAGTCCTGAATATGAACCAGATATCTATCTGATTAGCGTCCTATGAAATTTTGTAAACTGAATAGGATTGAAAGTTTGGACCGATTGTCTCCAAATCAACAATAAACCAATTCTATTGTCATCCAAAGATTCAAGACTGAGAGTCTTAAATCCTTGTGCGATTAGAGTTTATCATTGACGAGAAATTCCAAGCTAATGGGTTTAATCTAATATGATGCCAGTTAGTGATGAGAATTGTCGTCATATAACAAAACAGTCTAAATGTGGATACAACTGACCCATCGTCATGTTGACGAAATAAACCTTCAATAGTCTTATTTCATGTATCTATCAGACAAACTGTGTGCAAAATACATTTTAGATTTAAATCTACCCACTTCGAAATTACCAAACAGTGTAAACATGAGAGACAGAGGACAAAGTTGGATGGAGAATACTGGTGGGCGGCCTATGCTCCTCCACGAGGAGTAACAGGCGTAAGTAAGCAAGTAAACATGAGAACATCTTCTATTTGTACATCAGTTGAATTCGATCCGTAATCACTGAGATTCCTATTATTTACCTAACTCGTAAATGATCTTGTCTAATCTTCAACGTGTAACTTAAAACCAAAGACTATACATTCATGAATAGAAGTGATCTGTTACATTCCACTTCGAATTCAACACTGGTTTGAATTACATTACTTTACAAAGAAAGAAAGAAAATAAAAAGGATGAGACAACTCTCCATTACTGACTAACTGTTGTATAATCTTCATCCACACGCTTAAACGTTTTCTGTTGATAGACATCACAGTACTATTACAAGTCACCTTATTTTAGTTTACCTTATTAAACCTATTCATTCAGTTTTATAAGCAAAGATGGATATTGGCTAGCAGTGGTATCCAAGACACGTGTTTCGTCCTATTTGGGACTCGTCAGATGAATGTACTTGCATTACAGGGTTGATATTCACTCTGAGACTCAAACCCAGAACCTGTCGCATCAAACATCATCGCGTTATCCATTTTGCTTATAAAGCTTGTGACTTCAGGCAATATTGAGTCAATCCTCATAGGATGCACACATGCCAACAAGAGACTGATCAATTACAGTCAAAAATAACAATGGGAAGATACAAGTAATCAACAACAACAACAAGTGACTATTCATTCAGTCTTGTAACGGGCATTCTGTTTTTAACTTCTCAAACTGTGCATATAAAAAATATGCACATTTATTATTTGAAGCGAGATGTTGAAGACTAACAAACTGGAAAACTAGTCATTTCAATATGTTGCTAAGCAAAAAAGTCTAAAAAAGACCAAAAACACGGATCAGGAAACTTTCACAATTTAATATCAGTTACTTATAAGTAGTATACTACGTTATACTAAATAAGTACCATGCATTAACAATTAATAATAATTAATAGTTTGATCAGAAGGGGTTTCATGGAGATTTCAGTATTTTTCAAACTTAAAATCATGAGTCGATTGAAGCTAGACCATCATGGAAAACATGGAGGCACTGGACAGTCGTTGGATGCCAGTTCGGTGGTCTATCAGTTAAGGGCTTTGGCTCGAGACTAGTAGGTCCTGGGTTCGAATCTCGCGAGTGCGGGATCGTGGATGCGCACTGCCACTGAGAAGTCCCATATTGGGAAAAAACGGCCATCCAGTGCTTCCAGGTTTTCCATGGTAGCCTAGCTTCAATCGACTCATGATTTCAATTAATAGTTTATTTTCACAAATACATATATATTTTTATATATAATAGTTACTTTCCAGATTACCCCGAAATAAAAGATTCAATCAAGAAGGAATTCAAATTGCCTAACGTTAAAACTATGAAAAAAAGAGCAACGAAATCATTGGATCATTTATCGTTTTGGCATGCAAATCAATCAATAAAATCTCCGAATAAAACTGATATAAAATATCAGTAAGTTATTTAGCTAATCTTATCAGTTATAATAATACTCAATTAAGGGATAACTTAATGGTCAAATCATTTAACTTTCAACTACTGGGTTCGAGTCCAGCTTGCGAGATCATGGATGAGCACTGTTGAAGAGTTTCATGCTAGGGCGAAACGTCAGTCCAGTTCTTCCAAGTCTTCAGTGGCGGCCTGACATTGATCCAATCATGATATCAGTTTAAACTCAACAATCTTCACAACTTTATGCTGATACTGAACTCTATCTTCGATACGTTCTCATTTACACATCTACTTGGATAAAGATGATCGGTTAGTTTCACAACGTCTTAAATGTAAGATTATGACTTTGATTTGAGTAAATAAACTTAGCACTCGATAAATCAATCATATTCTTTGACAGATGAATAAGGAAGAGGTATTTATAAGCTAAATATGGTAGATTTCATTTGAATGGAGTTAGTATCTAAACATTGAATAGTACGAATGAACAATCCAAAAGATTATTCTTCATTGAATCACGAAAGTATATGGAGACAATATACGTTATATAACTTTGATGAACAATCATTATTTATCAAAATTAAATTATTGATTAGGCTTTATTTCATTCTATAGATGAAATTCTGAGTCAGTTGAAGCCAGACCACCATGGAAAACCTGAAGGAACTGGACCACCGTTTAGTCCCTCAACAGTGCACACCCATGATCCTGCCTCGCCTAAAGCCTTTCAGTTTCGAGCGAGAGCGCTTAACCTCTAGACCATTGAGCAGACTGGCATCCAACAGTGTTTCTGTCTAACTTCAACCAATCCACGAAATTGAGCGACACATCCACCATTGTATTCAGTGACTTACTATCTCACAACAGACCTGGTTGAACTTCACTGGTCACTGCTTCTCACTAGAACTCCATGAAATATCTATTGAAGTCAGTAACTAGTGAGCATATGATTATTATCAGAAGGGGTTTTGTGGTGATTTCGAACCAAGGAAATCATGAGTCAATAGAAGCTAGGCTACTATGGAAAACCTGAAAGCACTGGACAGCCGTTTAGTTCTATTGTGGGACTCCTCAGCAGTATGCATCCACGATCCCACCACGTGGGATCGAACTCAGGACCTATCGATCTCGCGCTAGCACTTAACCACTAGACCACTGCTGAGGAGTCTTCCAATAGGACGAAACCGCTGTTCAGTGCTTCCAGGTTTTCCATGGTGGTCTAGCTTCAACTGACTCGTGATTTCAACTTTATTATGAATTCTTTAAAAAAGGAAAAAATGGTTAGGTGATTCATTTTGATTGGTCAAATGTTAAAATGACTTATCCCATAGTAATCTATTCAAATCTAACAGTAATTGGAGTCGAAATATCGCATAAAGAAATACCATTATCAATAACTTATAATCTTGATACCTAATTATGTTCTTCTCTATCAGATGTAGGCTTTGTTTAAATGTGTAATTGTATTTATTTTTTTCGGATGGTATTTTATGTTGATTAACAGCCAGTGAGTCAGTCAGTCAGCAACAACGCAGAACTTCGTACGTACGTACGTACGTACGTACATCAGTCCAAATTGCCATAGCTACTATTTTAGCACAGAGATACACTTGTCGATTCAAATCCCATAGTGGTAGAGGTTGTAAAAGTATAAGCAGTAATCGGAGAGATTTTCGATTGAAGATGTTATTCAATGGATATAATCCAGTGAAGCAAATTTGGAAAGAGAAAAAACGGACATGAAGAATTCAGAGGATCAGAATTTGGCAGGACGCAAAGAATGAATGCACCTGCGAAAATACAAACGACATGTATGAAGATATGTATAGGGTGTAAATGAAAATTTATTAGTTATAATCAGTACAATAATACTCATAAACATTATTTGAACATAATAACTGACATAATGAAAAATCAGTCTTCATTGGATTAGTTACATTCATACCACAGATGCCTTAGAAATATTGCTCACATCTGTTGGGATCACCGGGTAAGTAATAGTAAGGTTAGACGCAGGGTATTAGGAAATGATGGTAAATCAGTTGATGAGGTCATGAATCTTCATCGACTCAGATGGTTAGGCCACGTGGTACCTATGCCTGAACATCGATTACCACGACGCACTATGCTGACTAATGTAGTGGATGGTTGGGAGAGAGTTAGGGGTGGCCAAACCAAAACGTGACATCAGTCCATACAGTGACTAACTTCTAGTCTGAGACATGTCGGCAGATGCAGACTATTTGCTTGAAGTCCGCATGATTATCGTAACCAATGGTTGAAGACTCTGTGTGACAGGGCTCAGAATCGATCACAATGGCGTTGGTGTATACACTCTTTATCCTCCCTTAAACCTTGAGATTAAAATTGCTTCATATCTGTCTTTCTTCCTGTACTATATCATTATATACAACCTATCTTTTATATACTACCACCAATAAATTAACTACTTCTATGAATCCGGTGTTCATTTTGTTGTGCTAATGAGGTATGACAACTTGAACCGATGCATGAATGTACCTGGTCCTACGTTGTAGCTGACTGACTGACCATTTTCTTCATAAGCTAAGGGTAAGTATCATTTTTAAGTGTCATTTCTTATAAACAAAGATGGATAGTAGATAGCATTTGAATCCACGACTCGCATTTTGTCCTATTTGAGACTCATCAGTTGGATGTATCTGTATCTGCGATGGCGTTTGAAGTGAAAGGTACTGTGTTGAAGTCCCAGATTGAATATCAACTCTGAGATACAGGTACGTCCAGCTGACGAGTCTTAAATAGAACGAAACGCACGTCCTGGATCCCATTGCTAGCCACTATCCATCTATTTATAATGCTTGTGAATTAAGGTAATATCGAGGCAATACACACAGTATGCACATAAAGCCAATAAGAGGTTGATGAATTGTAGTCCTAAACATCAATGAGAATATTCAAGCAAACAATATCAAGTGAATTTAAACTTCACCCCATTACACAAGCAAGTGTTTATCAGGACTCAGTAATTGAGTGTATAACGCGATGCCGTTTGAAGCGAACCGTACTAGGTTCAAGTCCCAGAATGGATATCAACTCTAAGGGACTGATCAATTGTAGTCCTAAACATCAATGAGAAGATTCAAACAAACAATATCAAGTGAATTTATTCATTCTTTCTAATTCCTTAAACTGAATTGTAGAAAGGAAGCCTAAATCAACATCTATTCATATCGACCCATGACTTAATCATATCTAACCAACTGACCATTCAACATACAAGATTGGTTCTACTCATAGAATGATTATCTACACTCTAGTGTTCTTATTGTTTGTTTGTTTCTATTTAGATCTATAAACAATAAACAAGAGAAACTTTCATATCAACCTAAATCTCCAAGAGAACAATTTGATCTTTCAATATCTAATTCATCTAATCACAAGAAATTAAAACCCCTTTGTTGGTCTGATCTATTTGAAAATAATAAACAAAAAGATTATTCTAAATTCAATGAATTATTTACATCATTACCTAGTGACAATTCAAGAAGTCAGTCAATTTATCCTTCATTTGTAAAGAAAACTTTATGGAAACCATCGAAAGCAATTGTATCATAACTTCTTGTTGATATCATATATTCCACTTCATCTACTTCATTGTCAACATTATCATGATACTTGTTATATCCTTAGTGAAGACATAAGTATGGGTAACTTCCAGGACCCATTCATGGACGATTATTCAATATATAACTCTATTGTATAATTATTCAGTGATTAGATTGTATGTATCTAGATTCATCTTATTATAAGCTTCATTTTGACCTATGGATTATTATTATTATTATTATACGAATTACTGTTCCTGAATTGTACTCAGTTTATTGATTACTGTCTCCCACATTCACAGTCACATTTGGCTTGATCTTGTACAAATATTATTTTCTATTTTATGATGTGATGCGGTCTGTCTGTCAGGTATATAAACCGAGTATACTTGAAATAAATGATTCGCATAACAGAAGTTGTTGTTGGTGTTCTGAACTCAATTGGAAGGGTTAAGTGGACAAGGAACCAATAAGGATGCTACACTGCTCATACTGATTGAACGTCATTGATTTGGCACAGTGTTAAGATTAGACAAATCTTAGTTCGATTGGCAAATAACTCTCACCATTACTAAAAACACATAAATAATGAATGATCGTTTCATTCTAGTATGGAACTACACATCAGAGTGCATACGTAATAACATCGTAAAGAATTAAAACCAAGACCTATGTTATCGTATACGAATGGTTAACCACTGAACCGGTGTACATCGGTATACATCCAAACTGTAAGACAGAATTCGGGTAGGACTAATGTATTATCACTACTACTACTTTTGCCACTGCTACTACTACTACCACTACTTTCACCACCACCACTACTACTACTACTTTCACTCCTCCTCCTCCTCCTCCTCCTCCTCCTACTACTACTACTACTACTACTACTACTACTACTGCTACTACTACTACTACTACTACTAATACTACTACTACTACTACTACTACTATTACTGCTACTAACAATAATAATACTCAATAATCAATCCATATGATTCCTAACTACCTTCATCTGAGTAGTTTTACATTTTTAACCTACCACAGTTTTAGTACGATGATGCTTAGTGACAGACTAAAGTAGACTTTGTAACATGTAGACATCTTATATACAAGAAAAAAAAGAACTACACCAATAACCATAGGAATGAATAGATAAGACAAGATTACTAAGAAACAAAATAAGTAGATTCTGAACGAAGAACAAAAAATTTTATGGCGACAGATTGAAAACGAACCGAAAAAAGAGTATCCATGTTCATATAATGTTGATATGATGGAGGGAATAAATGTTCTTTCTTTTTTATGGAATATACTATAAGTTATATATCAAAGAGAATTATGAAGGGTAACTATTGAGGACTATTTATGAACTAATATGATATAAGATGGTGGTTGGAGATAGTCAACAGGAAACCCTGGTAACCGGGTTTCGTGCCATTTGCCAAGTAGCATGACATTGATCACCACCCAGTGATCAATCAATCGTGACCAATGTGATCGGTATATTTCCTATTCTATAATTGTTAAGTAACTAAGCTATTCATATTCATATATCCCTTATCATGAGCTTTATTTTGACCCGTAGACTACTACTGTACGATTTACCATTCCTGAGTTATCCCCAGTCTATTAATTACTGTTCCCCCTATTCACAGCCACTTTTGGTTAATTCTTGTACAAATGTTATTTTCTATTTTATTGGTACGATGTGGTCAGTTTGTTTGGTATATAAACACAGTATGTTTGAGAATAATGATTCATATTGCAGAGGCTGTTATTGGTGTTCTGGACTTCACTGGCTGGGTTAGGCAGAAAGCAGGACTGATAAATACTCAAGACTGCTCATACGGCTTTTGTGTATTATTGCTCTGATCGATAATTCACTCCTCTCTGATTGGCGGGAATCAGCACATTCATATATTAACAAGGCATATACTCAATCGATATAACACTATTTCAATACAATAATAGGATTGGGGACTGAGATTATAGGAACCTTATTGATAAACTATACTTAGATTGGATTGCACTATACGAAATACATAATTCATGACCGAAGATAGAGAACTAAAGTATAGGATAGATAAAACGTGACTCAACACTATTGAAAAGCTATCTATACCTAATGAGTCTACAGTAAAAGTTCGTACTAGGAAGAAAGGAATCAAAATCTGACTTAAAACCTATATGAGGCACTTCTGGGTAGTAAGGGCGACTTTGTTAAC